CAGAGCAGGTGCTAGTAAAGGTAGATGTCATAATTGCTCATTAATAGGGTTCTTCATTGCAGGATTCCAATTTTCAAGATACAATAACATGCTGTAGGGATCAGATAATAATAGAAAGCACATGCAAAACATTAATATGTACTAAGTAAAAGGTTCTTTAGGTTTAAAGGAGATGCTTCCTAGGCCTAAACCCAGAGGGACAAAAAAGGACATCAGCTCCACACTCAGGTGGGTTCCTTTTTCGTTTAAGAGTGAAGTGAGGCACAAACATAGAAGCTAAAACCATACGACTCCTAAAAGAAAACAAAGGGCAAATCTCCATGACCTTGAATTTGGCAGTGTTTTCTTTAATGTGACACCAAACCATAAGTGACAAAAGAGAAAAATAGATAAATTGGACTTCATTAAAATTAAATTTTGTGCATCAAAGAACATAATCAAGAAAGTGAATATGCCTACAGAATGGGAAAAAATATTTGTAAATCATGTATTTGATAAGGATCTAGTATCTAAAACATATAAATAACTCTTACAACTCAACAACAGGAAAACAAACAACCCAATTTAAAAATGGGCAAAAGAATTGTATAGGCAATTTTCTAAGGGTATACAAATGACCAAGAACATGAAAAGATCCTCAACATCATTAGTCATTAGAGAAATATAAATAAAACCCACAGTGAGATACCCCTTCCCACCCAATAGGTGGCCATAATAAAAACAAGGTAAATGAGTGTTGGTGAAAATATAGAGAATTGGAACCCTTGTGAATTGCTGGTGGGAATGTGAAATGCTGCAGCCAATGTAGACAATGGTTTGGTGGTTCCTCAACAAGCCAGACAGAATTACCAAATGATCCAGCAATTTCGTTCTTAGGTAAATGTCCAGAGAATTGAAAACAGGTGCTCAAACAGATACATGTACATGTAGGTTCACAGTAGCACTATTCACAACAGCTAAAAGTGGGAACAATCCAATGGGCATCAATGGAATAATGGTTAAAGAAGTTGTGGTATTTATATGCAATGGCCCCAAAGGAATGAACTACAACAGGGATGAACTTTGAAGACATTAGGCTAAATGGAAGAAGCAGGCACAAAATGTCCTATAGTGTATGATTCCATTCATGAGAAATGCCCAGAATAGTCAAAACCAAAAAGACAGCAGATAGGTGGCTGCAGGGAGCTGAGAGAGAAACTGTTTTGTGGATATTTGGTTTCCTCTGGGCTGATGAAAATGTTTGAAACTAGATAGAAGGGGTTGGTAGTCACACAGAATTGTGAATGTACTAAATACCACTGAGTTACTCACTTTAAACGGTTTATTTTATGTTGTTAATTTTTTCTCAATTAAAAAAAAATGAATTAGGGACCTGGGGGTGGAGACAGGAGTGATGGCAGATACCAGTAAGGAAGTCCGCAGGCAGCTCCTCCCTCCAGAGCCAGAGGCCATCTCCAAGCTTGAGAGGGTACAAAGGACCCTTAGGGTCCATTCATCCCACTTCCCAGATGGGAAAGGCAAGCCCAGAGAGAGCAGGGACTTGCTCAAGGCCACGAAATGCAGGGGAAACCATGGAGGAACTAGAGGCAGGGCTTTAGACCTCAAAGCTGGCACCGCCCCGTGATGCGTCATGGCCTCTGCTGGCCGCGGGAGGCTGGAAGGGGCCCATGGCCGGGGTCCGAAGAGCGAAGATGGGTCTTCCGATGTGACCACGTAAAGGGGTAAACCAACTGGCTATTCAGGCTCATCTGTGCTGAATGCTTTCGAGGAGTCAACCCATGCCTTAATCCTTGAGAGTCAGTCCCCTCCATGAGTGCAGTTACAACTTTAAGAGGAAAACTCATTAGCTAGTTGTTCCATTTCTGCCCAAAACCTGCACCCGGGGGCTGAGGTCATCAGTTTGCCACAAGGGCAATGGGAGGAAGGCAAATGTCCCAGATTTAGGGCCCTCGCTGATGCCCCCAAGGGACCCGGGAGCATCCAGTCAGGCCTGGGGAGGTGAGGCCAGCTGCGCTACTGGAACCCTGAGGAGTTCTTTTCTTTTTTATCATTTTGCTGGTTCAGACCTGTTGGGCAGATATAAAAGGGAGTGGCCAGCCTCTGCTGGACACTCAGTCTCTCCTGGTGTGGTCTCAGGTGGGTACTACAGGGCATGCTGGGGCCCATGGAAATGGGAGGGGTGTGCCTGAGGAACGTGGTTATAATGATGAGAGATTATCAGGTGGAACAGGGGATGAGCATTTTCTGGGACTGCAGAGTGGGCTTCTCATTCCACACTCCACGGGCCCTCGACCTGCAGGCGAGGAGACGGCTGCTGGGACTCGTGCTGCCTTCCACAGTGAGACAGCCGGGATTTGAACCCAGACCAGCCCCCATTCACTGCAGGAGCCTCCTTCCATGAGTGGACAGAGAGGATGCTGGGTCCATGCTGGCTTCAATACCAGCCCTTCCCACACCCTGTAATGCTTCTCTTCCACCTAAGGCCCCTTTTAGCTTTTGCATTCCATGAGCTGAATTTTCTGTTTTGTGGTTCATGATTTTTTACTAAGTGGGTCTTGCTTATCAAAGATGCCTAGAAAGAGCTGTTGTCTGGGGGGGGGATGGGAGTGGCTTAGATGCAGGGGCTGCTGAGAAGTGGGATCACACTGAGTAGGAGGTTGGTGGCCACTGAATGGGGTGGGACGTGGTGTCAGAGGCCTGCGTGGCCTGCTAGGCAGTGCCTGGTCCCAGGAATCTGCACCCCAGGCAACCGCGCCACCAGGCCGGGACATAGCAATGACACCTTAGCTTATGGTTCACAGCAAAACCACCATTAAAAATATATATATATATATAGGCAACCTAATAGGAATAAACAAAGGAGGATTTCTGGTCCTTCATCCCCCATCAGAACAATTAAAAACTAACCCAGCCCGCAGACACCAGCAGTTGTTTTAATGACAAGTCTAGTGCATGTTAATCTGATTTTGCTGATATGTGCATTTTCTTTTCATGTGGATTTTGGTCTCCTTTCCCTGGTGACTTCCATCTATGTTAAACAGAACCAGGAAAATGAGAGCAAAAAGACAAGGCAACTGAGCCACCAGGGACAACATATGACAAAAGGAAGTTATTCTGGGCAATCGTATCTTCCAGAAAGGGGTGGTGGAGGCCCAACGTGGCCGCTGAGCAGCCCAAGGTGAATTGTGGCAGAGCAGAGACCCAAATCTCCTGGATGCTGGGCAAAGACTGCTGGAAGCTATTGGCAGAAACCAAGAACTCCCAGCCCCATGCTCCCCAGTGATGGGACTCAGGAGGGATAAGGCAGGGTTCTGATCCCGGCTTGGGGATCTACCTTTAACTGAACTGTATCATTTCCTCCCCTTTTAAACACAATTGTATTACTTGTACAAGACTTTGTCAGCAACAGAAGCCACCAACATTTTCATATCTTATTACAGCTGTTGCAGAGAACTCAAAAGATTGCTAATTCTCACTGTTACTTCAAAACTACAGTGGTTATCGGACCTGCTGTGAGATTGTGTTATCTGACGTGTTAGTAAAGAAGTACACCTATTATCATATCATGCAGATTTACTATTTTGTTAATTATACTTTAATGTCATTTGTTCGTTGGTGCTCCTATGCATTTTATTACATGAATTTAACACATTTTGTTCAAGTGGACTACAGACATCAGCAGATGGCACAGGACCTCTGTCCCTTTTCTCATTCTCACTTTCTGTGACATGGACCAGCTTTGTGGTTGGGGAAGCCAGAACGCTCTAAGCTGGGCCCCAGGGGGAGAAGAGAAGAGGAGGACGTGTCTCACTTTGCTTCCACCACTTGGATCAGCCTCTTCTAGAAACCCTGGGGCCCCTCGCCGGAAGAGCTGGAGCTTCCCCGAGCATAGCTTGGTGCAGCCAGGGCCTCGGGGCACAGTCATGAGACTCTCCATTTCTAGGTAGCTTACTTAAAGGTGGAGGCTGTACTCTTGGCCTTGAAAATAGCACTGCTGGCAAAGGGGCTCAGAACCACACACTCCCCAAGCCTTCCAGAAGCTTCCCCAAGATAAATTGGGACTACCTCTGACTTGTCTCTTTGCTACTTTGAGTCCCCACTTCTCCTTCCTGGTGGTTTGGTGAAACTGTCTGGATTCTGAAACCAAGAAGCCCAGGCTTGACCCTAGGCTGGCCTCATCTGGAGAGAGGTGATCATTAAACCCAGGCAATCATTCTGTGCCAGGCACTCACTAAGCATCTCACAAAGCCTGTGGACCTCGGCTCAGATTAGTCTTTAAATGCATAAAATAAACTACATAGGGTTACAGAGAAAACCAGTGGTCTTAAGACACAGTTATCAAAAATTTAAAAACGAATTTTTGATATACTAATTAAAAGTATATTTCCTTGTTGGATTTAAATAACAACATCTAACTGAGGGTCTAGTAAGACCCTGATGTCAAAGTTGACACGAGGGTGAGTAATATTTTGAGGTGTCTGCAACTACATTAAAATGGAAGCAGAACAGCAGTATTTCTGTTGGGGACAAACCACAGAAGTGCTGGTTTTACTGTGCCTTGTGGCCTCTGTTTGTACCTTAAAGGAAAGTGAAAACCCTTACGTGAAAATGGTAATTGTTTCCCTGTCCCACTTTATGGTTAAAAATCCTTGCTTTACCCTCTCCTGGGCCTTGTCTTCTCCTGCATAAAATGAGCTTCCCGACCCCGGCTTCACAGCCTTAATTTGAGGGACATAGGAGGTGACCAATGCAGATGTCTCTTGTGGTTAGTCGAGATCCGTGGCTCTGAGGATTTATTAGCTTAGTTCTTATTCTCGGTTATTAAGACCTAATGGCACAAGGCATCCAAAATGACCTGCGGGAAGCACCCCTGCCTCCGGGGCATCCGCCCTGGCCCATACGCCGGACTCGGCAAACCGCCCTTGCTCTCCTCATGGCAGCCAGGGGCGTCCTGGTTCCCAACCCGGGTTACCTCCTGCTCCTCCCTCAGCCAAGCCACGATGCCTGGTGGGTACAAAGGTGAATATGGGGACAACGTGGACCCGATGCCCCTCCTGGCTCCTCCAGAAAAGGAGAGGATGGAGGCCAGGAGCAAGCCTGATGACATCGAAAGCTCCTGCTGGGTCAAAGAGGAGGAGGAGGGCTTCCTTGCTGGGAGATCCAGTCTGAGCAGGGCAACCAGGTCACCATGAAGATGGTCACCAACCAGGTGAGTGGGGAACAGCCTCCAGGAGGAGCCTGACCTTTGGGAGCAGCAGATGCCCAGGCTCTGCTGTCCACACTTCCGCTCAAGAGGCAGAGTGACAAGAAGCGCACAGGCCTCCAAGTCCTGTGTGCTGGGTTCAAGTTCAGATTCAACCACACTCAAACTGCATGGTCCTGGGCAAGACATGTCCCTCTCCAAGCTTTGATTCTCTCAAAATAGAGATTCAAACATAACAGGAGTCATGAAAGTCCTCTGTGTGCTCTAAAACAGTGCATGCACGTAAAAGAAACTTTGTGAGAGTTAAAGTCTCAACAGCTCTCATGTGGAATCTATTTTCTAAGAGTGGGAATGAGCATCATGCCCATCAGTAGTTGTGCTATTTGCCCGTGATGGCATGACGAATGTGACACAGGGCGCACAACAGCCCAGCCAACCTGCACGAGCAACAAATGGCTCCCAAGCCCCTGCTGCACAGTGATGGTGAGCTGGAGCCGGCTTATCCTGGCCTACAAGGACCCAACTACACATTCAGGGACTCTGCCAGTGGTCAAGCCTTTGGCAGCTTGACATCAGCCATGGTGGAAATATTTACATGATGGGAAGTGACAAACAGTACAAATCAGGAACTGTCCCCCCTCATACAGTCGGCTTGCCAGCACACCACTCTCTCTGTAGTCCACACTGTGTTGGACTGGGGTGAATTGAGAGGGTTGACAGAAAATTTGGCTTAGTAAATCCCTACCCTGCCACAGGTACCTGGTGAGGCACTGGACATTTTGCCTAATTCTTTCAATAACCTTCTGCAGTAGGATTGATTGACCCTATTTTGCAGGAGATCAAGGAAACTTTAGGTAACATACCTACGGTCACAAAGACAGCACAAATGACACACTCAGATTCAGACCTCGCTGTATCTGACTCACACCCCGGTGCCCCCTCACATTACCATGCCTTCTTTCCATGGTGGGCTGCAAAGACAGAGTATGAGGTCAATCCTTGGTTAATTCTGGAATAAAAGAAGCCAGAGACCTTCCATGATCAGAACTTAAGAGCAGCTGGCATTCCTTTGTGCCCTGTGTCCTTTCAAGGAGAGTGGCAGGAGAGAGATGAGTCCATAGCTGGGTTACTATGAAAGTCAAGCTTCATTCTCAGGAGAACCTACTTCTCAGAAGGGCAGAGCATGACAGTGCTGCAAGGAATGATGGACATGTGAGTGGAGCCCCAGCGGCTTCCGTTTGGATGCAGTTTAAGGGCACCACTTACTTAAGGACAGCACTCACCTTCTGTGAGCATCCCCAGTGGAGACGCCATCCAGCCAGGCTTGGGAAAGAAAGGACAACTCACCTGGTTTCTAAGCTAAAGACAGAGGCCTCCATTCCTCTACCAGAGCTGAAAGAGAAGTATTTGCCTGTGGGCGAGGCCCAGAGATCTGAAAACTACCAGCAATGGACTCTGAATAAAAACCCAGCTTGATTTACTAGGGGTGTGGTGACTGTTGGTGACCATTACTGGGAGGATTTTCCAGAACTGTCAAGGTTTCAAATTATCTGCCTGTTGGGCTCATAAATTATTAAGACTTCCAGAAATCCCAGTATGTGATCAGACCTCACATCTCAGGCTGCAGGCTGCTCAAAGTTATTGCTTTCTGGATCCCTTGTCTTGAGCTTTGGTCCCAGATGCTGGAACTTAAGAGCTTCATTTGCAGATGAGGAAATCAGGGTGCAGAGTGGGGATGGAATTTACCCACAATGCACAGGAGCTCCAGACTCTGACCACTGTAATATTTTCACCCTGATGCATCTACTGCTCAACATTCATTGTCTTTTTTTTTTGCCTTGTTTGTTTGCTTGCTTTCAATTTTATCCTGCAGGATGGTTTGATGGAAGCAGGGAATTGTCTCTTTTTTTACATGAAAAAGTCCACTGCCCTTTAGAAAGCACAACTAATTCTCAAGGCAGACAGCCAAGAGTCACGTCTCTGCAAAGCGTCCCTGAGATCAAAGAGCAAGTTCTGATGAGCTATCAGAGAGGAGTGGGAAGACAAGTCCAGGCCAGAGGTGCTCTGAATGTAGGGAGGGAACTTCATAGTTTGCATTTTTACACAATCACATTTAAGTTCATGTAATTCTCCTAGCAGCAAGCCAAAGCAGCTACTGTTCTCCATACTTTAAGGAGGAGGCAGTAGGGCTCATATGGCCTCAGAAGTGGAAGTTCCTCCCTCTCCCAAGTTGCACAGGGGCCATGGTGGACGAGGAGGTGGGCCCACTGGACACCTGACTCTAGCTGCTTCTGGGACACCAGAGTGTGTGGTACCCTGGGCCAGATGCCACTATGCCTGTGATGGTACTATTTCCTAATTCACGTGCTACTGTGTCTTGCCCACCCCCCAGACTGTCACTAAAAAGAAGGATGATGTCCAGCAGATGAATCCACCTAAATTCTGCCAGACAAGTGACATGGTGGACATGACCTTCTTGAATGAGGTCAGTGTCCTGAACAATCTGTGCCAACGCTACACCAACATGAGGATCTATGTGAACACCTGGGGCTGCGGGTGGGGAGGAAAGGGTGGCTGCAGATCTTCTGTCCCTCTCCTGATAGGCAAGGGCTGGGACCATGTTTTTGACATGTTTTTATTTCCATGCCAAGCCTTCAACATCTCAGTGATGGCACCATCTCCACAGGGAGCTGAAATACCTTTTGCTGAGGATGTCATCCAGAACTTTCCTTCCCATTTCACCCCTGCAAACTCTCCAATCAAAACATCATTTTCTCCTTGACTACTTCATATGGCCTTATTAGATGTCATTCCCTGTCCACGCAGCCATCCACTTATCCTTCCATCTTTCCCTCCTTCCTTTCTTTCTCCATTCTATCCAACCATCCAGTCATTCAGTCATTCAACAAGCACTGAGCACTGTGCTAAGATGCGCAAAGTAAGTTACCATCAGTCCCGTCCTGGAACTCTTCAGACAGAAGGATGGCTTCCTGCAGGTGCTGGTGGCCACACTCAGCAAGAGATGTAAGGAAGTTTGGGTGTGTGCTTCTCTAGCTAGCTTTACCTAAGAGGAAAGATACCTATTTGGTAGGGATAGTTGGCGTGAGGGCCTGACATCAAGGTCAGGGGTCACTGGGACTTGCCCTCCCTGGATTTATGGTGACAGCTAAGACGGCTGCTTCCTCTCATCCTAGTTCAATGTTTCTTTAGTTTCAGGTTCAGGTTCCCTGCAGCACTGTAGCCCCAGGAGGCATGGAAGATCTCTGGAAAGCTATTGGGGACATTTGCGGGCCGACAGGCTAGTGGGGGCATCACTGGGCCTCAGGTACGGAACTTGGTCTGAGAACATCCGTGCAGGCTTGATGGCCAAGCTTGGGGCTGCAGCTTCCCTGGGGCTCCCCTGCAGCCAGGCCCTTGTTCCCTGCGGGAGGCTCACCATGTCCTTGGGCTGAGGGGCTGCGGGTGCTGTGGAGCATGGCCTGAGGGGCCAGGACAGGGAGGCTCCTCCTAAAGTACAGGTCTCTGAGTGACACTGGTAGGCAGGGGCCACTCCACAGCCCAGCTGCTTCCTTCTATATCCTGCAGGATGGTTTGATGGAAGCAGGGAATTGTCTCTTTTTTTACATGAAAAAGTCCACTGCCCTTTAGAAAGCACAACTAATTCTCAAGGCAGACAGCCAAGAGTCACGTCTCTGCAAAGCGTCCCTGAGATCAAAGAGCAAGTTCTGATGAGCTATCAGAGAGGACTGGTGGGAAGACAAGTCCAGGCCAGAGGTGCTCTGAATGTAGGGAGGGAACTTCATAGTTTGCATTTTTACACAATCACATTTAAGTTCATGTAATTCTCCTAGCAGCAAGCCAAAGCAGCTACTGTTCTCCATACTTTAAGGAGGAGGCAGTAGGGCTCATATGGCCTCAGAAGTGGAAGTTCCTCCCTCTCCCAAGTTGCACAGGGGCCATGGTGGACGAGGAGGTGGGCCCACTGGACACCTGACTCTAGCTGCTTCTGGGACACCAGAGTGTGTGGTACCCTGGGCCAGATGCCACTATGCCTGTGATGGTACTATTTCCTAATTCACGTGCTACTGTGTCTTGCCCACCCCCCAGACTGTCACTAAAAAGAAGGATGATGTCCAGCAGATGAATCCACCTAAATTCTGCCAGACAAGTGACATGGTGGACATGACCTTCTTGAATGAGGTCAGTGTCCTGAACAATCTGTGCCAACGCTACACCAACATGAGGATCTATGTGAACACCTGGGGCTGCGGGTGGGGAGGAAAGGGTGGCTGCAGATCTTCTGTCCCTCTCCTGATAGGCAAGGGCTGGGACCATGTTTTTGACATGTTTTTATTTCCATGCCAAGCCTTCAACATCTCAGTGATGGCACCATCTCCACAGGGAGCTGAAATACCTTTTGCTGAGGATGTCATCCAGAACTTTCCTTCCCATTTCACCCCTGCAAACTCTCCAATCAAAACATCATTTTCTCCTTGACTACTTCATATGGCCTTATTAGATGTCATTCCCTGTCCACGCAGCCATCCACTTATCCTTCCATCTTTCCCTCCTTCCTTTCTTTCTCCATTCTATCCAACCATCCAGTCATTCAGTCATTCAACAAGTACTGAGCACTGTGCTAAGATGCGCAAAGTAAGTTACCATCAGTCCCGTCCTGGAACTCTTCAGACAGAATGATGGCTTCCTGCAGGTGCTGGTGGCCACACTCAGCAAGAGATGTAAGGAAGTTTGGGTGTGTGCTTCTCTAGCTAGCTTTACCTAAGAGGAAAGATACCTATTTGGTAGGGATAGTTGGCGTGAGGGCCTGACATCAAGGTCAGGGGTCACTGGGACTTGCCCTCCCTGGATTTATGGTGACAGCTAAGACGGCTGCTTCCTCTCATCCTAGTTCAATGTTTCTTTAGTTTCAGGTTCAGGTTCCCTGCAGCACTGTAGCCCCAGGAGGCATGGAAGATCTCTGGAAAGCTATTGGGGACATTTGCGGGCCGACAGGCTAGTGGGGGCATCACTGGGCCTCAGGTACGGAACTTGGTCTGAGAACATCCGTGCAGGCTTGATGGCCAAGCTTGGGGCTGCAGCTTCCCTGGGGCTCCCCTGCAGCCAGGCCCTTGTTCCCTGCGGGAGGCTCACCATGTCCTTGGGCTGAGGGGCTGCGGGTGCTGTGGAGCATGGCCTGAGGGGCCAGGACAGGGAGGCTCCTCCTAAAGTACAGGTCTCTGAGTGACACTGGTAGGCAGGGGCCACTCCACAGCCCAGCTGCTTCCTTCTTACGTCCCTCCTGCCAGCACAGGGGAATAGAGACTCTCTCCTTTTCATTCTGACCAAAACAGGGACATAACTGGCTTCCAGACTCCCGTCTGCCTCACCCCAGGCCCCTCAGACAGGGCGGGAATGACAGAGCGACTCAGCGGCTGGTGTCCCGGGATGAGACACTGTGTGTCATACTCTCGGCTGGGCAAGTGGGTTCTCTGTATCTCCTCTCTGCTTCTCTTTCCTTGGATCACTTTCTATATAATAAGATTCCTTTAAAAAACTCAATTGATTGCAGCTATGCTAAGGACAAGCTGTGGTGGTGTGTGTTTATTTCTACTTGGACCAAAGTGGAAGGTTTCAAAGCTGAATTGACAGGGGCACAGAGAGGAGGCATCGGGTCCAAACAAGTGTCCAAAAAGAAGGGAAGTTGGGGACCCAAGGATTCAGCCATTTCCCACCCTCACTGACACTCCCTCTAATAATCTGACTACCTCATTGGCTTTTATGAATTTTTTTAATGGAATGATTTCCTTATGGAATTGCCTTGGGTTGGAAAGAAAAGCTGGTGTCTCTTCTTAAGAGCAGATCAAACCCAGCTGCTCACTGCATAGGCGATGGTGCCTATGCAGCGAGGACACCACAGCTGTCAAGGCACCCCAGAAATCTGTGGACTCCCATGGAAAATCCCCCAGATACGGTAATGGAAAAAGCAAGACATAAAGCAGTAGAGAATGCTATCTTTTGCTTTAAAAACAAGGGGTGGGGATCAGTATGTGGCTCTGAGTGTATTTGTAGGTACATCAAAAACCGTAGAAGGGGATATTAGAAACTAGCAGTGCTTACCTGTGGGAGGAGGGGGGGGCCAGTACTGAACATTTGGGGGGAATTTCTGCTGTGTATCTGTCCATACAGTGACTATGTTATCTATACAAATGATTAAACCTAAAGAAAATGAAACAAGTATATGTTAAAGAGAAGACTTGTTTTGCTTACTGAATAGAAGAGACTCAAGACATAGATTTTGCCCCCAGAGAGGATACCACCCTCTCTCTCCAGGCTGCTCTATGACAGGCCAGGCCCTGGATGGAAGAGGACACCAAGGAAAGGCAATTAACCATCTTTCTTTCCTCCCTCCGGACCTACTCGGACTTGATCTGCGTGAGACAATCCCTATATGTCGCTGCCCATCTACAGGGCCGGTATGGTCAACGCGTACAAAGGCAGGAAGTGCACAGAGATGCGGCCCCACCTCTTCTCCCTCTCGGACAACGCCTACCACGACATGCTCATGGGTGTGTGGGGTGGGGCTGAGGGGGCTGAGGGGTGGGCAATGAAAATTCCTTTGCCATTGTGGCTCCACACATATTAAAACCATGTGCTACCCAATCCCAACCCTGACTGCACACCACCCATTCAAGATCTTTGCTAAATGTGAGTGGCAGCAGCATGTGACATTAATACCAGGTACCCCCACTCAGCGAGGACTCAGAGACAAATACTAGCCCTGCCTCACACCCTGTCTCAGAACTCAAGGCAACACTTAACTATTCCCAGTATGATCTCTGCCCTGTGGTACAGTAACCTGTGAAGTGATTTTTATTACCATTGCTCTTTATGGTTTTTATGACTAGGGAGCTTTATGGGACAGGGCTGGTAAAAATGGAGTGGCTGGTAAATTCCTGGCCCTTTTTCTACATGGTTATATGCTGCAGAGTTAGACATATGTCCGTGGACCCCACAGGATTCTGGGTTTTTGGCCTCCACGGGCTGCTGTGGCCACTCTCCAAGCTGGGTGGGATGCAGGGAGATGAGAATGATTTGGCTAGGGTGATGTCAAATATCTAGCTCCTAAGTGTTTCCTAATTACATCTTCCTGTTGCTGTTTTCTTCCCTGCAGATTGTGAATATCAGTCTATGCTAATCACGTAAGTGTCCCTTCTGTCTCTCTGTCTATATACACATAATTAGGTCTGTGTCTCACACATGTAATTAAGCCTTCTTAGAATTAATTGGTGGGACTTTATGTGCAAATCTGCAGGCAGTGAGTAGGCTCCGCAGGACAGTAGGTTGCACCTGCTAAGCACCCCCCTCGCCTCAGCCCCAAGCCACCCCCCACCTGTCTGTCCTGGCTGAGGGGTGGAATGTGGTGACACTCAGCCTGCACCTTTTGTTGTTTTGCATCTCTGCTGCCATCCCCCTTTTGTGCTTCATTTGTCGGCTCCCATTTTCCACCTGCAGCAGAGAATGTGGTGCTGGCAAGACTGAAAACACGAAGGTCATCCAGTATTTGGACAGCCTCGGAGGAACTGGCAAACAGTCCTCAGATGGAACGGCGAGGCCGCCCGGGCAGACTGAGAGCCTGTCATCCCCAGCCCACCCCACCCTCAGTCACACACAGTAGCGACACACACCGCAGAGCCACGCCCCCCTCCCAGCTGTTCTAAGGGTTGGGGCCATTGTACGCGTGAGCAGAGGCTTAGGAAGAAGCAACTTAGTGGGATCGCACAGGGAGAAGGTGGCCGCAGACATGGGTTTCCTCCTACAGGAAGGATTCTGCTGCCCCAAGCCATGTCTGTCCCCCAGAACGACGGGTGACAGAGCCCCATATGCTTAGCAGGGAAGAAAAGGGGTCACTGGCTCCCCCTTCAGATTCTTCTGCAGGTCCAGGTGACGCTGGGGCACAAGGAGGGTTAGCTGGACCAGTGGAGCCTGTAAAAAGTCAACAACAACAAAATAACAGAGCTTGGGAGAAAAACCAAGGATCCCTAGGGAAGGGTTTTCAAGTTCACTCAGGAATCTCCCCACCAACAGCAAAGTGAGCAAACAGCAGCTAAGAATCAAGGCCTAGCGTCTCCCCAGGTGCTCCTCCAGTGTCCGGGGCTCCAGTGGGGACAATTCTCAGGCCATGTGCCTCCTCCCAGGTCCCCTCCAGCCCTGATGTCCCAGCTTCCCCAAGGCCTTTCCCCTCTGGTTCCAGGCACACAAGTCACTGTCATTTGAAATCCCTGGGTCCCCAGGCAGCAGACGAGGAGCCACCCAGCCTGTGTTCCTCTCTAGGCCAGGGGTCCCTAGAGGATCGAATCATCCAGGCAAACCCTGTGCTGGAGGCCTTCAGGAGCAACAACGCCTCCTGCTCTGTATGTGGGAGGGTGTGAGCGCCCAGCGGTGGCCCTGAAGGGGGTGGGGGGGTGGGCAGGTGTCATCACCCCATTCCAGGCAGGAAACTGGGGCTGATTTAAACATGTGAATGGGATGAAGTAAGTCATGGCACCTTTTTTCCAGGATCTGTATCAAAGAGATTAAAGAGATCCCATGACAGTATTTAAATCCATGGGCTTGAGTAAGAGAGAGGCTTGGTAACACAGTGATAGAGACCCCAGAACTGTCTCCCAGCCCCACGGGAAGGTGTAGGACAGGGGCTGTCCCCAGGGCCCTGGTGGATTCTAGCTCGGCCATTGGTGGGAGCTCAGCACCACTTGAGGTGTCTTCCAGGGAGAAGAAACACCTGGCCTTTCCCTCTGACTCCTGATCTCCTGCTGGGGCCTCTCCTTGCCTGAGCCAGTGGGCTGGCAGGGAACCTAGAAAAACAGGGTTGGGCGGGGAAGAGGTGGGGGCAGGTGAGGAACAGAGGGGAGGGCAAATGGACAGGAGAGGCAGAGAAGGATATACAGAGCCTTCTATTAACAGAATTTCTGCACGGCTCTGCAGAGGTCAGAGAGAGGATGCAGTGTCTCTACTCTCTTAGAGTGCTGTCTACCCGCTGGCCAAATTCCCACCATGCCTGGCTCTAAGTAGGCTTCCAAAGGGTCCCAGACCCTCCTGCTGGTGCTCCTCTTCCCCACAAGTGCCCCAAAACTACAGTCCCCCCCACAGACCCTAAACTGAGCTCTGTGCCTGTCCATCTCCTTCTCTGCCCACCTGTGTGGGAAAGCCACAGCTCTGTGTTCCACCACATCTGGCTAGTTACACGCCCCATGGCACCCCTGGAATCCGGTGGGGGAGCTGCCAGTGCGTGACAGTGGCCAAACCTGAGCTCTGTGTTGGTTTAGAACTATGTACCCTCCCTCACGGACCTCCCCTCTCCTCCCCGCTCAGGGCAGGTTCATCCGAATCCACTCCGGAACTACAGGCAGACAGGCTGGAGCTGACATGGAGAGCTGTGAGTCAGGCCCCTTTTGGAGGGTTCTTCTGGGCAAGACCAGTTACAGAATGTGCGGGGCTCAGTGCAAACTGAAAATGAGGGGCCCCTTGTTCAAAAAGCAAGAATTTCCAAACAGCAACAAAGAAACATTAGACCAAGTGGAGGGCCCTTCTGAAAGCAGCCAGTCTCACACCCAGGAGGCTGACCCTGCTCCCAAGCTCCCCTCCGTCAGCAGTCAGGCCCTGCGGAAGCTGTATGTCCTGGGGAGAGGGAAGAATGGACCCATGATTGGTTATTGCACAGGGCTTTTGGAGAGGGGAGCCCTGCTTTCCAGAGAGCCCTGCACTCCAGGCAGAATGGGTCTGCATATAGATATTTGTGCACATCTTCTTCCAGATTTCTTAGAGAAATCTCATGTCATCTCTCAGCAAACAGCTGAGAGGGGCTACCACATTTTCTACCAGTACCAGATTCTAACAAGAAGCCTGAACTTATTGGTAAAGATCTTTATGTCTGTCTGCCTGCCCCTTAATTTGCTTTTCCTCTTGTTCCAATAAAAAATCCCCATGTGCCAGGGTCTGGTGTTACCCCTGTGGTTCTGCACAAATCTCTTTAGCTTTGAGTGAATTGGTTACAGGGAGCTCTACTCACACATCATCTTCCCAACAGGCTAATGAGGCTTAACACCATTGTTGGCCCATTTCACAGATGGGGTTTGGGATGCCTATAACTCATGACTGAGACATAGACCTGGGAAAAAAAGCCTATAGGGCTTTAGACTTCTCCCCAGGTCTTGGACCTGCAGTCTCTAGGCCCAACGCTCAGATAGCAGCAGAGGTCAGCCAGGGGCCACTGCATGTGCAGTAACAAGAGGCTCCCCTCTGGGTGGACACAGCCCACATTGGGTACACAGCTCAGTGAGCACACTACACTCACCCACTTACAGGATGCCCTTGTGCAGGCACCAACATGCTCAACCATCCATAGCAGATTTACTCAGGATGTAAGGTTGGAGGAAGGAACACTCAACCTTCCACATACACACCTCCTAACCCAGCCAGAGACTAGGTGCCATCCTCCACTCACAGGTGGACTTTTCTGTGTCGTACACAGTATCTTTTTTAAGTAATGGATGGCATTTTGAAATTGGAATATTTCATATAAAAATCTGATTTCCTGGTTTCTCTTGTGTAGCAGAAGATCCAGTAGCCATGGGCCTGACCTCCAATGTGGCACTAATCACGGCAGTTGAGTGGTGGTGGCCTCTTTGGATGGAGCTCAGGCTCTCCTATTTACCACACTCCCTACCAAGCCTTACTGCCCTCCCAACCTTGAAGCAGAGTGATAGCTACCATTTATTCTCCTCCTTGGGCTGTAGTTATTCTCAACAGAAGAAAGGAAAGGAAAGGAAAATATTTCTTGTACCCATGTCTCTTCCAAAAGTGGAAAAACAAAGACCCAGAGGGGCACATATTTGAGGAAAAATAGAAGTGAGTGTATCTTTGTAAAAGCAACAACATTCATGCATATTATATGCAAGTGGTTGTTATTGCCTACAATCATTGTGTTACCTTCCACCTTGAAGTATGACCTGCTTTTTATAGGAGAGAGAAAGGAGCAAAATTTGACTTCATTTATTCCAAAAATAGCTATTGGGTGCCCACTAGGTGCCAGGTACTGGGCCAAGTGAGGAAGGACATAACCAAGTTTCTGAGACCCTCTTGCCATTCTAAAGTTCCTTGTGCACCCTATTCAAGTGCCCCACGATTCTGGGTGATCTCAGAGGGCAGGGACATGTCTCATTCAGCTATGTAATCCCCAGGAAGCCCCCATCATGCCTGGCCCATGAAAGGCATTTAGAGATATGAGTTAAAAATGAAAGAGAAGAAACCCACATATTCCCAAGCGGCTCACCTTTCCTGCTCTCAGCAGAGACTTTGCTGCTAGTCCCCCACCCTAGGAGTACCACTGAGTGAGCCAGGGCATCACCAGGGTGGAAAACATGGACTACGGGGAGGAGCGGCAGATCACAGATGTAAGTGGGCAGGTGCGGCTGGCAAAAGGCAGGAGAGCCAAGACAGAAACATTGGGGCCCTGCGTGCACTGCCACCAGAACTGGGGAGGGGCACCACTCAGAGCTGCTGGATCTTCCCTTGAGTTGGCATTTATCCCAAGCCTGTCATAGGAAGCAGGGTTTCTCTCTGCAGAGCTGAGCTAGGATTCCACAGGGATCTAAGGGGCCATATATTTCACATTGCATTTCCTCCTCCCAGCCCAGCTAGAAATGACCCTCTCATCTCCTCAGTCCCCACGGCCCCTCTCCTCCTCTTTGACACCACGCACCTGTGGCTTCCATTGGGCATTTCTGTGTACTCCCTCCCTGGACAGCAGAACTGACTCCTGACACACTTTGCCTGCCCCTTCCCCCGGTACCTAGCAGGAAGACTTAACAGTAATAATAATGGTAATAATAATGCTACTTCCCTTTATTATTATTTGTCAAGCACCCACTATGTGCCAAGCACTAGACTAAACATTTACACATCATTCTGGTTTATCCTTATGCACACCTACTATCCGCATGTTGCAGATGACTAAACAGAGGCCACAGAGGTTAAATATAGCGACTATATCACAGAGCAGCCGGTCGGGGCTCCTTGGAGGAAAATAGACTTCTCCCTGGTCAGCATGCCTGGCCTCCGGAGCCCACACCCTGCCACAGTGGCCCGTGGGTGCCACCCCGCCATTGCAGTGCCACGGCCTCCACTCAGTGGAATGAGAAAGCAGGAGTTTCTCGACTTTCTCCTCCCTGTGGCCTCAAAGGTTGCCTTTGATGTGCTAGGCTTCAGTGCTGAAGAGAAGATGGGCATTTATAAGCTGACTGGGGGCATCATGCACTTTGACAACATGAAGTTCAAGCAGAAGCCAAGAGAGGAGCAAGCTGAAGTGGACACCCCGGGGGGTAGGTGCTCAGCTGGGGCTGAGGAGACAGCCAGCAGCAGGGGCTCACGGCTCTCCTGGGCTTCATGCACATTTCAGAGACATGCTGTAAACCAAGAATGTTCCTCGGAGGTCCAGACATTGACATTCTTAGAAACATGACAGAGAGTCAGAGACATGATTTTGGTTTCTACACTCTGCTTTTCCACTTGACTTTGAGTGTGGAAACCTCCTCAGACCTTGTCTCTCCCCCCACGCCCACTTCCCTAACCACACAGATGGTGCTATGATTCCCCAGGGCAGGGCACCATCTTTCTTTCACTCACCTGGTTCTCCCATCCTTACTGAGTGACTGGCAAAGTCGCCCACCTCATGGGTCTCAATTCCAGGAAGCTCCAGAAGGGCATCACCAGGCCCCGGGTCAAAGCAGGCAATGCGTCTGGGCAGAAGGGCCAGAACACGGAACGACGCAGCAACGCCATCGGGCCCTGGTCAAGGCCACCTATGAAAAGATGTTCAAGTGGCAGGTGGTCAGTATCAATAAGACCTTGGACATCAAGATGCAGAGGCAGTTCTTCATCGGGGTGCTGGACATCGCCGGCTTCGAGATCTTTAAGGTGTGCCTGGCCTTGCATTTAATTTCTGCTTTGGGGTGGCCGTCCTCCTTTCATAAGCTGCCTTTCACCATGGCTCTCTTATTGCTCACCTTGGACCTGGGGTGGGTCAATCTCAGTTTGCTTCTGGGTCTCTGACTTCTGGCCTCCAGGAAGGTCCTTCATTTGTATGGGGCCAAGTCATGAAGGATGCTGTGAACAAAATGGGTAAGAAGAATGGTGTGCTGGAGCCCCCCTGCACTAGGTCATAAGAGCTGATTGTTAAATATTCAGGAATATTGTGAGCCAGTTGTCATTATGTTGATACATGGCCATGGGGTATTTACACCATGGAAATTTGCCAACACTACAAATCAGGCTTTTTTTATTTTAGAAAGAGAGAGCTGATTTATTAGTGCAGCACTGGTAGCTTCCCACTTCTTGCCCACAAGTGAGGCTCGGGTCTCATCACAAGTCTAATATTGTGGGTCAGGAAGATTTTTACCTTTGTAACTGGAGACAGCATGATTAGGAGTCAGTAGACCTGGTTCTGGACTCAGGTTGGCCGCCAACTAGCTGTGTGTCCTTAGGAAAGTGGGTTCCCCTCTCTGAGCTAGTTTTCTTTAAAATGAGCAGTCTGGAAGAGATGATCTTTAAGATCCATTCCAGCTTTGCTATCCTATCATTCTGATTTCTAGTAGCCACAGATAGAGTTTTTGTTTGTTTGTTTTAAAACAGTTTACCCCAATTTCTTTTAGGCTCTAAAAGGCTAGTTTGGCTGCTATCTACAATAGGATCACTTAATTTCATGGGTAGAAGGAGCTTTAGACTCTCAAAAGTGTGTTCCCTGGAGTCCTAGGCAGCCACTGATAGCCAGAAAGTGTGAGACTAGGGGAGGAGGACATCCTGGGCCAACAGCAGAGTGTGTGAAATAGACAAACAGGGTTCAAACCCCAGCTTGACTACTTCCAAGCTGTGTGCCTCCATTTCCCCACTGTAAATGGGGACACTAATCATTCTTGCCTTATAAGGTTTTGGAGCAGGTGTGGCTTAGCCCAGGGTCTGGTGCATGTGAGTGACACAACAGCGCCTCTGCTTTAACCTGTTTTCGCATATGAGGCTTCAGCATGAGGTTTCATTCTGAGAAAGCAGTCCCTGCTTTAAAAAAAAAGGTGGGGAGGTGCTTGTAAACCCCTTCAAACTCCTTCATCCTACAGATGAGGGTGAGAAAAACTACGCAGAGACTGATGAGGGCACTCAGGGAGTCATATCCATAAAGTCTCTTAAATGATTTCCATCTCTGGAAAGAAAATGGTTCTTTCCACAGTGATTCTCACTAGCTACCCAGGGTGGGTGTCAGAATTTGGGTTCCTGGCATCTGTTACCCTCCCTACAAAGCACAAAGCAGCAGTGCTTTGTAGGGAGGGTAACAGAGAAGGGCTTCTTGTGGGACTGCCAGTCAGGGTGTAGGCATCTGGAGTGGTGCCTGGCACTGGTTAGCCCTTAGCAATTTTAGTTGTGCTTATGGCTCATCCCTTGGTCCTGGGAGGGGCTGTGACTGTGTCTGGCCTCATTCCCCCCTCTGCCCTCCCAGCACAATTCAACAGCTTTGAACAGCTGTGCATCAACGTCACCAACAAGAAGCTGCAGCAGTTCTTCAACCACCGCATGTTCGTGCTGGAGCAGGAGTCCAAGAGGGAGGGCCCTGAATGGGTCTTCATTGACTTTGGCCTTGACCTGCAGGCTTGCATCAACCTCCTTTCCAGGAGGTAACCTGCTTATCAAAGGAGTGTCTTGGAGAGAGGCCAGGGCCCTGACGAGGCACACCTCAGGAGGGGACTTCACTGGGGCCTGTGGGGAGGTAGCACATGGACTTGGGCAGTCAGCAACATTGCTGATGACCTTGGTTGGTATGACATCTAGCTTCCTCTTTGCAAAATGGGTACAAGTGACTGCAATGGGCACTGTTATTTGGGCTGCTGTATGCCTTTACTTACTGGCTGCTGTATGCAGGGGGTTAATTTATCACTTCCATTTCACAGATGGAAACAGTGAGGCACAGAGAAGGAAAGACATTGTCCACAGTCATTCAACCTGTGAGTGGCAGTCAGTTTTTAACCTAGGCAATCTAATAGTCTATCCTGCAATTGTACCATAGGGAATATTTTAGCAAATGGTCTAGTTTAAGACTATATATTATTTGGTTAAATGCAGATAAGGGCTAAATAAAGGACATGAACAGGACAAATGATAAAATTTGAACAAAGTCTGTAGTACTATATCAGTGTTAATTCCCTGGTTTTCATTAGTTTACAGAAGTTATGTTAACATTTGGAGAAGCTAGATGGAGGGTATGTAGGAATGCAAGCCTGAAATTATCTCAAAGTAAAAAATTTTTAAAAAGAACAAACACATCTTGTCTCTGAGGCTCATCCTTGGGCCCATCACAGAGAAGTTATCATCAAGGCAGCCAGGGGTCTCTGATGCGGGGCCAGCATTAAACTCCCAGGAGAAGCGTCCCCCAAAACAGGCTGTGTGCATAATACAACTGTTCTCTTTAACACCTACAAATCCTCCCTGTCCAGCTGTTCGAGAGCCTGAGATGTCCTCAGGCTTGAGCTTTGAGGTAAGTCTTCGTTAGAATTCCAGACTGCTCCCATGGATGGTGGGAATATTAAGTCACTAACAGCATTTATGAGCTCCCTGTTTTTGTGAGAAGAGAACTAGAACCAATGAGGGACCTGGCAGCCAGGAAAACCACTGAGGGGCAGAAGCAGGTAGGAGAGACATCCATGCAGAGGGCAGGTGGCATTGATTTCACCATTTTTTTGAGGGCCAAGCCCACCTGGAACCACTGTTTGGGTGGGATTAGCATTTGGGGTGCTATGTAGCCCCTTCATACTTCAGTTTTCCCTTCTGCTGGACTTGATGAATTCTAGCATTTTTCAAGACTGAAGGGCTGTGGCATTTGAAGACCAGACCACGGAGCACCAAGCCAGCACCATTCCCAGGTCACTGCCCAGAGTTCTGTTCCTGGCTAGCCAAGTAGGTTTCTGGGGCGGCCCTCCCATCGACCCCAGGCCAACGACTGAGCGGCCCCATTGGGATCCTCCTCTAACACCATCTGTTCTCTTCCCTTCTAGCCCATGGGCATCTTCTCCATCTTGGAGGAAAAGTGTGTCTTCCCCAAGGCCACTGGCGCCGTATTCAAGGCGGCCATGTACGACAACCACCTGGGCAAGTCCAGCAACTCCCTCAAGCCCAAGGCGGGGAAGGGCCCGGGGCCGGGGCCCACTTCCAGCTCGTCCGCTGCGCAGGCACTGTGATGCTGCCTCGGCGCCCCCTGTGGCCGCTTGCTGCCTGCTGTCAGCTTCTATTACCGTAGGTCCATACTGCCAAGCCTTTCCTGAGGCTTTCTGCCTCCAACGAACATCGCTGGGATATAACAGGGGGATCAGCTTGTTGGAGTGAGCCCTGGATCATACTTCCTCAACCCTTTTCCCCCTGAGAGTTCCAAAGCAATCCAACCGCGGGGCCTGCTAAGGAGCGACCAGCGTGTTGTGCTCTCAGACCTGCCAGGGCCACACCACTGTCTAAAGCCCTCGGTTTGATGGCTGAACTTCAATGTTGGTTAGAGAAGACAACATTCACAAAAAGAAAAAAATTTTTCATAAGCCAGTCAATTATTCCCCAATTGATTAACTTGTCCCGCTGACAGCTGGTGGTCAACAAACTAACAAGGCAACATTGACGGAGTGGCTTTTTCATTCATGATAAACTAAGTCCTTGGGTTGGAAGGAATTAAGAGCAACCAGGTTCTATTTGAATAATTGATAGGGGAGACAACTTCTGTTCAGCAAGCTTGTAGGACTGTGTCTGGTTTCCTTGGGGTTTCAGGAGATGCCCTAAATGCCAGTGGTCCTTGTAACACCAGTTTGGTGAGCCTCTGTGGGCTTAACTTCAGGGAAACGGCAGCCTTAGGACAGAGCTGTCAGGAAGACTGCCATTGGATTGGCTACTGGGGCTGAGATTTTATGATCTCATCAACCATAACAATGCCAACTACTCGTGAAATGGATTCTGCCAATACGTAGAACAACTGGCAGGCTTGGAGCCCGACTGCAGTGCTTCACCTCACCTCCCACAAAGAAATAAGAGCTCTGTATTTATAGCAATGGACTATCCAGTCAAATGCATCCTGTGCACTTCCAAGAAGGCTTAAAGGGAGGCCCAGGGGCAATGAACGTCTATACCCTGCAGAGGAGAAAGCAAACCCAAAGGTTTTGGCTTCTCATTTGCTCCCCTTGGTTTTCTGTGCACAGTGGAAAGATCTGAAAGTCTCCTTTGTCTTTGCCTCTTCAGCTGGGGCCATATGGCAAAATGAGAAACAAATTAGTGGATGTCCAAATACTTGGATATCTGGAACCCCCAATTCTGAATGGATGGAGCCCCCGCTTCCACCAGGCAATTGCCAGGGGATGTGTGAGCCTCAGCAAGGAGGGATCAGATACTCTTACAGGGAGTTCTTCATGCAGCTCAGGATTCTGGTGGTCAAGGCCACTGGATCGTCCAGGCTCAGTCCACTGGGTAGGAGACCCAGGGGCCAGGGAGGTTCAGTGTGGCCAGCAAAGTAAGACATGCAAGAGAAAAGCATAGCCCAGCAGAGAATAGCCGGGGAGTCCTAGTTTGTGGGCAAAGCTCAGAGACAGTGTATCCTAGACAAACAGGAAACTACAAATGCCCAGGAAAGAGGTTTACGGAGCCTCCCCCTCAGACCTGGGTTCAGGAATATCCTAAGATATGAAGTCCCAGGAGATGGGGTGAAGTTTGGTCCTGGGAACCCAGAGCAGGCAGAACTGTAGGGAGAGGTTCTGGCTGTGGGACCCGGAAGGTGCAGGCTGAAAGGCAACCACCAGCTCTTGTCCCCATCCAGGTGGGTTACAACATCACAGGCTGGCTGGAGAAGAACAAAGACCCCCTGAATGAGACAGTGGTGGGCTTGTTACAGAAATCAAGCCTGGTGCTCCTGGGCCTTCTCTTCAAAGAAAAGGCTCCAGATACAGCTAACCCCTTATTGTGTCCAGTCTCTCTCTGCTAATGCCCTTTGGTGGCCAAAATGGAAAGAAGAAAACAAAACTCTTATTCAGCAGTCACTGAATGGATGAGTGAATGAATGCCAAGTTCCTTGCAGTATGGATCACAGTGCAACAGAGATGTGGATGCATTTTGGGAGCATCCAGCAGCCGATTTGATCACTGGGCCCATATCACCTCTGAGTGGAGCCTACGTCAACCTTAGAGAAGATGCCACCTAAATGTGCTTATTTTGTCCTCTCTGCTCTCCTCTGTCATAGGCAAATGCCAAACCCAGCCCGATCTCCTACCCAATAGAGGTCATGGAGCCCAGAGGGGAGCACCCTGTGGGGGAGCTGCCCAATGGGACTGCCACTCAGGAGGCAAGAAGTGTAAATCTCCTTGAGCTCAGAGATGTTTTCACCACCAACATGCGATTCCTCCAGATGGTGTGGTGGCTCTTCTTCCTCCCCAGGCAATGGGAACGGTTTGTGCCCCTGTGCCAGCCCTAAATCACAAAGGGCTACACACTCTCCAGAAAGCATAACACTCTGTTTGGCATTTATATCACAATCAGTTCATTCACCCACTCTCTGGTAGACCGCATTTTCCTGGTGTGAGGGCTGAACCTCAACTAGAAAAGCCTTTTTTAAACCAGAGAATGCATGTCCCTGATACAGAGCACTGAGTGGGGCTGTCTGCCTCCATGCTGGCTACTGACATGAAGCACACTTATCCCTATTCCTCAGCTGGAAGCAAGAAGAAGAAGAAAGGGTCCTCTTCATGACCATCTCCAGCTTCTGCAGCGTGAGTAGAGGCTGCCCCAGAAGCCCCCTGATACCCAGGGAACCCTCCCTACCACTGACCCTCCTTTTCAATAGTGTGGTAGTTTGGCTGCCACCTCACAGCCCAGGACAGGGTGATTTCATTCTTATGCCCACATTCACCTGCTTCATTCAGAGTCCGTTTCCTTCTGAAATAGTCACAGATCCATAGGACCACAGGGCAGAAAGAGATGGTCCAGTCCAACCACATCATTTCAGACTGAAATTCAGAATTCCCTTTTCCTGGACTTGCCTGGCATGGCCAGTGGAAAGATCAGTGTCTGAGATCTTCTGCCCAAGAGCTAGCTGGCAGGTCTTCTGGACTGGTCACAACATCCACAAGTTTGGACATTTCTGGAAACATCAAAGTGCAGAAACGCAGCCAATGGGGAAATATTGCATGAAGAAATACTTCACTGTTTCCCAAAGATCCGACTGCCTTAAGGCAGAATGGGCCACCTTATTGGAGGTATCCAAGCAGAGGACAAGGGACTGTCCAGTAAGGAGGGTAACAATGGCAGGGGTTTGTCCACACGGGCACCATGTGTAGTTCCTTCTAGTACCAAGACTCTCCCATTAGCCAGCACTGAATCAGGAGGGGCCCTGCTTCTTGTAAACCATGTCACCTCGGGCAAGTCACTGGACTTCCAGGGGCAGCACTACCCAAATAAATTTTCTGCAATGACAGAAACGTTCTCTTCTGTCCAACAGGCTACCCAATATGGCAGCCACCATCCAATATGTCAGCTGCTAGCCATATGTGGCTAGTGAGTACTTGAAAGGTGGTTGGTGTGACTGAAGAACTGATTTTTTATTTTAATTAAATTCCAAAGAAGCTCTCCTGACTGTGAGTGTCCTGCAACATGAATGCTGAGTTTTGCTCACTCTTTCTTTTCCTTCCATCTGCAGGAGCAGCTGAACACACTGATGGCCACCCTCCACGGCACCTGCCCCCACTTTGCCCACTGCATTGTCCCCAGTGAGTTCGAGCCACCAGGCACAACATGGGGGCCTGTCTCCCTGCTGGAAGTCCTCAGGAGCTATGCAGCTAGTGTCTGCTCCAAACTAAGTTCATTTTTAATCACTAGGGATGATTGGGGCAAATGGGGCACTGAAAGACTCCCCAACAGTAGATCATCCAAATATCACATTCTAGCTTATTTGTAAAGCAAAAATCATGTTCTGGCTGGATGGGCATCAGCCAGAAGTCACACTCAGGAGAGCCTTTGGCCTTGTAATGGTGGGGGCCCTGGGACTCCCCAGACAGTGATGGGAGGAGATGGGTTGACAACGTGGATGTTCAGTTCAGCCTCGAGTGGCAAGGAGTGGCCTGTGCCATGATAGAGTCGTGATCCCTAATCCTATGTCCTCCCCCTTGGCAGGCGTGGTGGATGCAATGGAGTCCTGGAAGGCATCCGTATTTTGCAGGAAGGGCTTCCTGAACAGGATGCAGTACCCAGAGTTCAAACAGAGGTGAGTGATGTCTTCCTGATACCTTGAGTACAGTTCTGAGTTCCCACAGATTGATTAGTGTTAAATAGAGTCCCATCGTAGGACACACCATGGATAGGATGATGATACCACCTCACTGTTACTACATTTGTACACATTGGCCCAACTTTCAACTGCCAGCACCTGCCTTTCTTTGCCTAAGGGCTTTCTCTGGCTGCCAGAGGCTGCCTTGCTACCTGGCAGGATGAATGTACCAGGAATGAATGCCTCCTCAGGAGCAGCCCTCAACCATTGGTGAGCTAGCTCTAAGATGTGTTATATACTGGCTCTTAGGAGTGCTGGTAAGTGTTAACAACAGGCTCTCTGGGTTTTAAAAAAAAAGCCCTGATTTGTAGTGTCTGCCAGTTTTCATGGTGTAAATACTCCTCTGGCTGATTTTGAGTGATCAATGTGACATCACTGAAAGTGTGGTTAGGGAGAGATGTACACAGTTGGCTCTTATGAGCCAGTGGGAGCCAGTCCCAACACACCACCATTCCCAGAGTCTCCCAGCAGCATTAAGCTCCAGCAGCCTATTGTAATAATTGGCTTGATAACATGCTTTTTATTGGCTTCCCTGCGCCACTTCCCAACTCCATCACCTCCCAAATACACTACTTGCACTTGCATCCTTGTCTCAGGGCTGGCTTCTGGAGGACCCCAAACTAAGATGACCACTTTAGGGATTATTTTAGTTCTACCTGCTCCCCACTTGCAAGAGTATATGAACACAGCCTAATGGAGCAGGAAGGGTCCCTAGAGGTCATCTTGTCCAAGCCCTGTGAAGTTCCTAATTGGAGAAAGACTTGTCTAAATCACAATGGGGGCTGCTGGCAGGTCAGACAAGAAGCAGTTCTCCTGAGCCTTGAAGAAAGGACCAGCAAGGAAAGATCTTGGTGTCTTCATTTCTAGGAGCACCTTCCCCTGAACTCCCAACCCACACCAACATTTGCTCCCCAAAGTCTTCTCTGCCTGCCGTGGGCATCTGCAAGACAAGTCCAGTTCCTGACTCCAAGGCCATCTCAGGATCAATGGGTGTCCACACTGACATGCTTCCTGAGCTGCCAGCCTGGGAATGATGGCGACTGTCACCATCTCTCTTCCGGCAAGTACCAAGTGCGGAACCCCAGTGTGATTCCTCTGGGGCTCACAGACAACAAGGAAGCCTCAAAGCTGCTTCTGGGGTCCACTGACCTGGATGTGAATACAAAACTGGACACACCAAGGTAGGATGTTCTGATGGTGCTCCCTCCCCACACCACTCAGCCTTGTCCCAAGAAGGTGGACTTCAGGGTGTTAATTTCAGCTCAGTGTAGGCCAGTTGTCTGCCTTGGGCAAGCCTCTCAGCTGCTGAGAGACTCAGTCTCTCCCTCTTAAAAACCAAGACTGGTTAAGGCCAATCTTATTGGCTTTGGGGGTGATGAGCAGTAATGTGGGTCAGAACCCAGCTTAGACAGAGGTACTTAATAAGTAGAGGAGTATTTCCTGTGACTGTGTGAGCCCCAGGCTGCTAAGAATAAAAGAAGTCAGTCAGAATCAAGGTCCCGGATTTGACCAGGGCACAGCTGTATGTGTGTGTGGGTGACGTCTGGGGGTGATGCACCTTAATCCCAGCCCATCCACCTGAAAGCTCCAGACCTGAGCTGGCAGGTGAGTCGGGGTTGACTCAGACAGAGTGGCCACCTGATCGTGACTCATGGGGCCTGGCCTGCCTGTGTCTGTCCCACTTCTTGGCCCCATAGAATCCTGTCAGGATTGTAAGGGCCAGCTAGATCTACAGTGCGACATGCAACATGGGAGGCACAGGCAGATGCACAGGCCTGGTATGGCACAATGTGCATGGAAGCTCTGGGCCACGTGTACATCCATCACATCTGGTCACTAGGCAAATGCTCAGAGAGCCCCTCCTGTGTGCCAATCATGGGAACACACACAGGGACACAGGCTATGAGGACATCCCAGCAAACAGGAATCTGAAGCTCCCTGGAGCTTGCTTTGTAGCAAGTGGGCATTAGCAAAATTGCAACATTTTGCCAGAACTGTTAGCTTTGGCCTCCTTCCAACTAAGACATGCTGTGTGTAGCAACTGACTTAGAGGAACACAGGTTTCATCACAGAATTGTTGAATCCTTGGACTGGAGAGAACCTTGGAGACAGCTCCTTTCCCACCCCACCTTTCACAGATGGGAAACTTAAGAAAGCCTGGAGAAGTGGGTGGAGGTGACGTGCCCAATTTCACAGCACCAGGCAACACAGAGCACTGTTGGTCATGTAGCCTGGGAAGGTGGGCTGACGTTGCCAGTATGACTCAGCTCCTGCCCAGGCACACGGACAGCATCTTGCTGTTGCTCAAGGGTTGTGTGAGGCACCTCATATCTAGGTAAAGGCCCAGGGCTTCTGGGGACAGCTTAGCTCCCTGAAGACCAGGCAGGCTCTGCTGGCAGGGGCAGAACACAGAACAGGATGATTCTGCTTTCTTAACACCAAAAGCGTAAGTACCCAAGGACTTGAACCTAAAGTAAATACATGACAGAGAGATTGGGATGAGCAACTAAACCAAAAAAAGTTTGCCTGGACTAGGAGAGGAAGGAAAATAGGAGGGGGTTGATACCAGGTACCAGTGAGGGTCCCTGCCTCCTCACTCCCCTACCAGCTCCTGGCACCGATGAGAAAACTCCCAAGTAACCTGGAGGTTAAGAGCAGAGGAATATGCACCTCACCTGGCAGGTGGGAGCAAACCTTGAAAGCAGCCCCAGCCTGGTGGGAGCCATGGAGGAGAATAGCCACACAGGCTGTGGGGGCAGAGGGCAGTCCCAGAGCAGCGCACTAGAGAATGTTCCAGAAACAGCCACCACGCCCAGATGATGGGAAGCCATGTGGGCCACAGATGTGTCAGTGATGCCAGACCAGGTGGACACTAACAGCTGAGGCTTAGGTGATGCCCCCAGTGCTCTCCAAAACCCCTAGAACTTAGAACCCCAGCAGGGAGATTCAGGATTAAATGAGATTTCTCTGAAGGCAAGGATGCTTGGTGTAGAAGGAGTTTGGTGATGGAGAAATCCAGACAGTCTCATTTCTTGGACATCTCTGGTTGTGGGCTGAGATTTGTGCCTACTCCAAAGTGCTGTAGGTCCCTGGGAGTTCCTCTGGGTGGGCAACTGAGAAGTCTCCAACTGAGAAAGAAGATCAGAAAGGCTCTAATCTTCCCAACAGTGGTCTTGTGAGGTGGGTTTTGAGACCTGGTTGGGGGAAGGGGGCTGCCTGAGGAAGGCAGGCCTCTCATATAGGACTAATAGGCCTGGGGAGTTCCTGGGCACTGGCCCCAAAGCTGCTCTGTGCTTGCTCACTCTTTGTCATCTATAAAAAGAGAAGCTTGAGCCCACTGTTCTCCAGTGTCCAAGCCCAGAGGCTCCACAATACAACAATGGAGTTTATCAGATCTCTTTTGATACAATGAGGCTAGAGTGTCTGCTTCTGGCCCCAACAAAGGAATGTCTGTGCCGCATGCCATGACCCTGAGAAGCTGGTAGTCTTCATATGCCTTGTAAACAGGAATTTTCCTTTTTCAGAGGAGATAAAGGAACTGCTTGATCAGCTGGGTACAGGACAGAGCATGCATGAGATGCAGAAATTGAAGAAAAAATTGGAGACTGAGAAGGGAGAGCTCCAGGTGGCTCTGGAAGAAACTGAGTCCCTGAAGGTAACCACATGGCCATCACCTCAGGGGCTGGACCCTTGACCAGGGACCACACACATGCTTGGCCAGACAGACTAATGTTTATATTCCTGGCAGGTTGAAGACAGCAAGGTGATTCAAATTCAGCTGGAACTGGCCCAGGTTAAAGCTGACATTGACTGGAAAATCCATGAGAAAGAAGAGGAATTTGAAGCTACGAGGTATGTGGTTGATGGACTGGAAGCTGACTTTAGGTAGCATGATGGAGCAGAGTCCAGAAACCTAGCTCTCTGTCACCTACTAATCATGTGATCTCGAGCAAATAAGGTGAACCTCCTTGAATCTCAGATATGGCACTTATACTGATATGCCACTCTGGTTTACAAACACTCGAAAATACAGTACCTGCTACAAAAACCCATGAGATAATGAACCATAATAACAATAATTCAAAAATGGCAGAAGACATAAAAGACACTTCTCCAAAGATACACAAATGGCCAATAAGCACATGGAAAGATGCTCAATATCACTAGTCATTAGGGAAATGCATATCAAAACTACAATAAAATACTACCTTATACCCATTAGGATGGCTATTATCCAAAAAACAGAAAATAACAAGAATTGACAAGGACATGGAGAAACTGGAATCCTTGTGTACTATTGGTGGGAATGTAAAACCGTACAAACTGCTGTGGAAAGCAATGGTGAGGCCCCTTAAAAAGTTTTAAATAGAATTACCATATGACTCAGCAACTCTGTTTCTGAGTATATACTCAAAAGAATTGAAGGCAGGGGCTCAAAGAGATATTTGTACACCATTGTTCACAGCAGCATTACTCATAATGGTTTAACTATGTTAACACCCTAAGTGTCCACTGATGAATGAATGAATAAACAAAATGTGGTCTATACATACAATGGAATATTGGATTAAAATTCCAGCCTTAAAAATGAAGGAAATTCCTACACATGCTACAATATAGGTGAACCTTGAGGATATTATGCTAAGTGAAATAAGCCAGCCTTGAAAATATAAATACTGTATGATTCCAGTTACATTAAATGCTTAGTCAAAATCATAGAGACACACAAAATGGCCATCCTGCCCAAAGCAATGTACAGATTTAATGCAATCCCTATCAAATTACCAACAGCATTCTTCAAAAAACTGGAACAAATAGTTCTAAAATTCATATGGAAACACCAAAGACCCCGAATAGCCAAAGCAATCCTGAGAAGGAAGAATAAAGTGGGGGGGATCTCGCTCCCCAACTTCAAGCTCTACTACAAAGCCACAGTAATCAAGACAATTTGGTACTGGCACAAGAACAGAGCCACAGACCAGTGCGACAGAATAGAGACTCCAGACATTAACCCAAGCATATATGGTCAATTAATGTATGATAAAGGAGCCATGGACATACAATGGGGAAATGACAGCCTCTTCAACAGCTGGTGTTGGCAAAACTGGACAGCTACATGTAAGAGAATGAAACTGGATCATTGTCTAACCCCATACACAAAAGTAAATTCGAAATGGATCAAAGACCTGAATGTAAGTCATGAAACCATAAAACTCCTAGAAAAAAACAGGCAAAAATCTCTGGGATGTAAATATGAGCAACTTCTTCATGAACATATCTCCCCGGGCAAGGGAAACAAAAGCAAAAATGAACAAGTGGGACTATATCAAGCTGAAAAGCTTCTGTACAGCAAAGGACACCATCAATAGAACAAAAAGGTATCCTACAGTATGGGAGAATATATTCATAAATGACAGATCCGATAAAGGGTTGACATCCAAAATACATAAAGAGCTCATGCACCTCAACAAACAAAAAGTGAACAACCCAATTAAAAAATGGGCAGAGAAGCTGAATAGACAGTTCTCCACAGAAGAAATTCAGATGGCCAACAGACACATGAAAAGATGCTCCACATTGCTAGTCATCAGAGAAATGCAAATTAAAACCACAATGAGATATCATCTCACACCAGTAAGGATGGCTTCCATCCAAAAGACAAACAACAACAAATGTTGGCGAGGTTGTGGAGAAAGGGGAACCCTCCTACACTGCTGGTGGGAATGTAAATTAGTTCAACCATTGTGGAAAGAAGTATGAAGGTTCCTCAAAAAACTCAAAATATTAATACCATTTGACCCAGGAATCCCACTTCTAGGAATTTACCCTAAGAATGCAACAGCCCAGTTTGAACAAGACAGATGCACCCCTATGTTTATCACAGCACTATTTACAATAGCCAAGAATTGGAAGCAACCTAAGTGTCCAGCAGAAAATGAATGGATAAAGAAGATGTGGTACATATACACAATGGAATATTAGTCAGCCATAAGAAGAAAACAAATCCTACCATTTGGAACAACATGGATGGAGCTAGAGGGTATTATGCTCAGTGAAATAAGCCAGGTGGAGAAAGACAAGTACCAAATGATTTCACTCATTTGTGGAATATAAGAACAAAGGAAAAACTGACGGAACAAAACAGCAGCAGAATCACAGAACCCAAGAATGGACTAATAGTTACCAAAGGAAAAGGGACTGGGGAGGATGGGTGGGAAGGGAGGGAGAAGGTGGGGGATAAAGGGGGCCTTACGATTACCATGTATAATGTGCGGGGGGGGGTGCACAGGGAGGGCTGTGCAACACAGAGAAGACAAGTAGTGATTCTACAGCATCTTACTACGCTGATGGACAGTGACTAATGGGGTATGTGAGAGGGATTTGGTGAAGGGGGGAGTCTAGTAAACATAATGTTCCTCATGTAATTGTAGATTAATGATACCAAAATAATTTTAAAAAATCATAGAGACACAAAGTAGAATGATGATTGCCAAAGGCTGGGGGAAAGAAGGAAATGGGGGAGTTATTGTTTAATGGGTATAAAGTTTCAGTTTTACAAGATGAACAGATGGATAAGGAGACGGATAATGGTAATGGTAGTACAGCATTATGAACGTATTTAATACCACTACACTACACTTAAAAATGGTTAGGATAGTACATTTTTAGTTATGTGTATTTTACAATAAAAAACCTGGGGAAAAACCCTGTCAGATAGGTGCAATTATCCCACCTAAGAGATGAGAATGACGACACCTTCCTCATGATTGCTCTGGGATGTGGTGGAGATTAAAGGAGGCTGTAGCTGTGAAAGCACATTGGAACCTGCAAAGCCATACAGATATAAGTTACATAAATATTCATGAACTCTTAGAAAACATCCAACATGTCATGGAAAAGGACTGATTTGTAAGAATGCTAAGGAGTGCTAGATTTGGAGATTTCTTTTTAATTCAGTGACCAATGATGCTGTTTGAGGGTTCAAGAAATTTTTGGATTCATCACTAGGTTTTACACAAATATGATCTGTTGTGATTCTGAGATCAGCACATTTGGGACTGTCCACAGTGGCACCCCGCCTAACCTGTCTGCCTGAAATCTTCCTGCACCGTCACTTCTTGAGTTCACAACATTCCCACAATCACTCCTAAGAAGGTTGTAGGCAGAGCCGCTGGGAGAAGTCCCATGACTCTGCAGCTACTATTGGGTGAAACTTGACCCCCACCTTAAATGTCTAGCTTTGTCACTAAATGGCTCTTGTGGGTGTCTGTTTGCAACAGTTTTATTGAGCTATAATTCACATACCATGCAATTCATCCAAGTTAAGGGAAAAAATTCAGTGGTTTTTAGTTGTGCAATCATAATTACAATTTTAGGACATTTTTATCATCCTCCCCCCAAAGAAACCCCATATCCTTTTGCAGTTGTGCCCCATTTCTCCCCACCCCACCCAACCCTCAGCCCTGGCAACAACTCACTGACTTTCTGTTTCTTTGGATTTGCCTGTTCTGGACATTTCATATCAATGGAATCATACAACATGTGGTCCTTTGTGCCTGGCTTCTTTTACTGAGCATAATGTTCTCAAGCTTCATCCACGTTGAAGTGTGTGAATCAGCAAGTATTTCATTCATTTTTATTCCTGAATAACATTCCACTGTTGGATAACACCACCTTTTGTTATCCATTCCATCAATGGACAGACATTTGGGTTGTTTCCACCTTTTGGTTACTATGAATAAAGCCACTATAAATTTTCATATCTAAGTTTTTGTGTGGACATATATTTACATTTCTCTTGGATAGATACCTAGAAGTAGTATTTCTGGTCATATGGTAACACTGTTTAACTTCATGCAGAACTGCCAGATTTCTTTCTGAAACATTTGCACTGTTTTACATTCCCAGTGTATGAGGATGTCAATTTCTCCAAATCTTCTTCAACATTTATCATTATCTATATTCTTGATTATAGCCAAACTAGTGAATGTGAAGTAGTAGCATCTCACTGTGGTTTAAAATCACAGTTCCATGATGACTAATGTGTTGACTGTTTTTTTTTATGTGCTTATTGGCTATTTGTATATCTTGCTTGGAGAAATGTATAGTCAAGTCCTTTGTCCACTTAAAAAACTGAGTTGTCTTTTTGTTGTTGAGTTGTAAGAGTGCTTTATATATTCTGGATACTAGACCCTTATCAGCTACATAATTTGCAAATATTTTCTCCAATTCTGTGAGTTGTCTTTTCACTTTCTTGATAATATCCTTTGAAGCACAAAAATTTTTTATTTCGATGGAGCCCAGTGTCTCTATTTTTTTTCTTTGGTCACTTGTATAGCAGGTGTCATATCTAAAAACCCATTGCCTAACCCAGTCATAAAGATTTATGCTGATGTTTCCTAGATTAGGCAATAGTTTTATAGTTTTAGCTCTTAACATTTAGGTCTTTGGTCCATAAAGACCTAATGGGGTCCAACTTCATTCTTTTGCATGTGGACAGCCAGTTGTCCTAGAACCAGTTTTCTGTTTTTTTGTTTTATTTTTATTTTTTATTTTGGTATCATTTATCTACAATTACGTGAGGAACATTATGTTTACTAGACTCCCCCCATCACCAAGTTCCCCTCACATACCCCATTACAGTCACTGTCCATCAGCGTAGTAAGATGCTATAGAGTCACTACTTGTCTTCTCTGTATTGTACAGCCCTCCCTGTGCCCCCCCAACATTATACATGCTAATCATGGTGCCCCCTTTCTTCCCCCCCCTTATTCCTCCCTTCCCACCCTTCCTCCCCAGTCCCTTTCCCTTTGGTAACTGTTAGTCCATTCTTGGGTTCTGTGAGTCTGCTGCTGTTTGGTTCCTTCAGTTTTTTTTTTCTATGTTCTTGTACTCCACATATGAGTGAAATCATTTGGTACTTGTCTTTCTCTGCCTGGTTTATTTCACTGAGCATAATACCCTCTAGTCCCATCCATGTTGTTACAAATGGTAGGATTTGTTTTCTTCTTATGGCTGAATAATATTCCATTGTGTTTATGTACCACATCTTCTTTATCCATTCATCTACTGATGGACACTTAGGTTGCTTCCATTTCTTGGCTATTTTAAATAGTGCTGTGATAAACATAGGGGTGCATCTGTCTTTTTCAAATTGAGCTGCTGCATTCTTAGGGTAAATTCCTAGGAGTGGAATTCCTTGGTCAAATGGTATTTCTATTTTGAGCTTTTTGAGGAACCTCCACACTGCTTTCCACAATGGTTGAACTAGTTTACATTCCCACCAGCAGTGTAGGAGGGTTCCCCTTTCTCCACAACCTCGCCAACATTTGTTGTCTGTCTTTTGGATGGTGGCCATCCTGACTGGTGTGAGGTGATACCTCATTGTGGTTTTAATTTGCATTTCTCTGATGAGTAGTGATGTGGAGCATCTTTTCATGTGTCTGTTGGCCATCTGAATTTCTTTTTTTTGAGAAGTGTCTGTTCAGATCCTGTGCCCATTTTTTAATTGAATTATTTGCTTTTTGTTTGTTGAAGTGGGTAAGCTCTTTATATATTTTGGATGTCAACCCTTTATCGGATCTGTCATTTATGAATATATTCTCCCATACTGTAGGATGTCTTTTTGTTCTATTGATGGTGTCCTTTGCTGTACAGAAGCTTTTCAGTTTGATGTAGTCCCACTTGTTCATTTTTGCTTTTGTTTTCCTTGCCCAGGGTAGATATGTTCATGAAGAAGTTGCTCATGTTTATGTCCAAGAGATTTTTGCTAGAACCAGTTTTTGAAAAGACTATTCTCTCCCCCTTGAAAGGTGTTGGCACTCATATTGAAAGTGAATTGACTATAAATATGATGGCTTATTTATGGATTCCCAATTCTATTCCATTGATCTGTATGTCTAACCCTATGCCAGGACTACACTGTCTTGATGACTGAAGCTTTGTAGTAATCTTTGAAATTGGGAACTGTGAGTCCTCTACCTTTGTTCTTCTTTTTCAAGACTGTTTTGGTTACTTTGGACCCCACTGCATTTCCATATAAATTTTAGCATCAGCCTGTCAATTTCTGCAAAGAAGCCAGTTGTGATTTTTGATAGAGACTGCACTGAATCCCATCTTAACAATATTAAGTCTTCTGATCCATAAACATGAATGTCTTTCTATGTATTTAGATCTTTAAATTTTTTTCAACATGTTTGGTAGATTTTGCTTATATTTATTTTTTAAGTCAAAGTGAATCATGATTTTGTTCACTTTTGACAATGTCATGATACCCTTTCTCATATCTGGAAATTGAATACACCTCAAGGATGCTGCAAATCCAGCAATGTGCCTCCATATAGTTAGTGGGTGTTCAGGGGTAGATCAGAGGTACATACAATGTGGGGCAGGTGACAGGGTCTTTACGTGCTAACATCTATTTGCCTCTGTAAAACAAATATTTTTCGAACATCTAAATTACCTCTTCTAGTACCTTCCTATAAAATGAGATCAATGCAACTTATTTAAGGACTTTATGGAAAAGTTTATTATGTTGATTATAATCAATCAATTTTTGTTAAATAAAATCAACTAATAACTATTGTTTTGAAGAGAGATGTAAATCTGATTTGTATTGTCAAAGCTCTCATTTTTGTAATGAAAAAAAACAGGGGCCTTAGCATCTGGGTTTGAATCCTGACTCTGTCATGGACTAAATGGGTCCATTTTTCCTATCTACAAGCCTCAGTTTCCTTGCAGTGCTGTTTTGCATGTTATAAATGAATTGCGATCACAAAGACACATGGCAAACACTGACCTTCCACTCCATTTCCCAAAGTGTGATACACCCCCATTAAATGCTTTAAGGGGAGATACAGTTTAATTTCACAACATGGTGGCCATACCACATTGATGCTCAGAGACCTCTAACCTAGGGAAGTTTAATACAGACTGAACAGCGGGCCCAGTATGCCAAGGACTTCTCTGCTTGGACTTGCAGGTAGAACCACCAGTGGGCAATCGAGTCTTTGCAAGCCAGCCTGGAGGTGGAGGCCAAGGGCCAGGCAGAGGCACTTCGGCTCAAGAAGAAGATACAGACAGATCTGAATGAGATGGAAATCCCGCTGGACGATGCTAACAAGAAAAACAGCAAACTTGTGAAGACACTGCAAAGGCTGCCACAGCAAATGAAGGCCGTGATCTGGGAGGAGGAAAAGCTCATCACAAAGCAAGCCATCCTGAGCCTGCAAATTCACAGGGAGCCCATTCCACATGTACCTCCAGCTAGGATAAAGGCATGGACGTGAGATCATAGGGTGGCTGGTGGTCCAGGATGCAGGAGACTTGGGGAGTGAATAAATGTGAGGCCCCATCAACAAAGTGCATATCCTGAGCCACTGGAAAGAGGAAAGAAAGGAGGGAAACATGAAGTTGGTCTTGCCTTAGTTTTGTAAAATCATTTTTCACTTCTAAGTTATTTCAGATACAGAAAAATAAAGAACATAACAAACATCCATGTACCCCCACTCACCTTAAGAAATAAACGCAAACAGAGCTAAGTCCTCCTTTACTGCTTTCTGTCATCGGGCTGGTCTATAAAGCATACATAGCTGGATTCATCCATTCAACATGGGTTTAGTGAAGACCTGTCCTGTCCAGGTGCTCTGTTAGGTGCTATGGATAGGCGGATGGACAAAACAGGCATCCCTGCTGATAGACAATAAGCAACAAATAAAACAAACTGCAGTATCTAAACTGGTGATACGTGCTGTGGGGAAACAAGACGGGAAGGGAGATTGGTAGTGGTCCCTGGGGTGTAATATCAAAGGTCACTGAGGAAGGCCTCTTTGAGAAGGCGCTGATGGAAACACCAGGGGCTCTTATCATCAAGAAAGCACTGATCTCATAGTAACCACCTACCTAGTGTCCTCCAGACACCTAGGTCCTGGCTAGCGAGACCTCTTCAGACCATGAACTCCCCAGAGGCAGGTCTACACCCCATACTCTTCCTCTGTGGCCTCCACCTCACCACCCCCACCCCAGCTCCCTGCTGAGTCTGATTTAGGTAAGTCAAAGCACCCTCAGGTCTAGCCAGCCCTGGACCATGCCAGGACCCAGGAAATGGGCTCAGCCCAGTCCTCGTGCTCACCAGGACCTGCAGGTCCAGATGGATGAGGATGCCCGGCAGCACGAGGAGCTGAGGGAACGATACAATGTGCAGGAGCGGCACCTGAGCCTCCTACAGACGGAGCTGGAGGAGGGGCGCTCCAGCCTGGAGGGCAGCAAGCATTCCTGCAGGCTGGGAACATGTGGTGGCGATCACTGAGCAGCACAGCGAGGTCAACGCCCAGGGAGGATGGCAGCTCCCGGGGTGGGGCCACATGGACTCACACTTGGGGCAGTGGGGTGAGGGCTGGAGAGTGCCCAAACCTTGTGGCTCTCCTCGAAACTCAGAGGCAGGAAGGGTCCCCGCTTGGCAAATACTGGGAACTCACCTGCAGAGCTCTCTTTGTTATGGTAAAACCTGTGACATGAAATGTGCCACCTGGACCCTTTCTCAGTGCACAGTAGTAACCACACACACATGGTAGTGTGCAGCTTTTACAAACAGATTCTCAGACTCCCCTGGAGATGACCCAATGGGTCAGTGATGGGACTAAAGAAATCTAAACTTTTAGAAACTCTTCAGGGGTTCTGATGATTCAGCCAATTTTAAGAACCACCATTACCACCAGTGAAAAACCATGGCCCAGAGAGCCAAGTGGCTTATCCACAGTCAACATCAGGGACCCTGTTTGCGGCCAGTGGTAACACCAGAACTGCTCACTGTTCACACGCAGCCCCTCACCATCACCACTTAACCTTACTTACCATCTCATGTGAATTCATCAGAAGAAAAAATGCACAGGACATACAGGGTTTACAACCCCACTTTAGAGATAAGACCACCAAAGCTTAGAGGTAAGTAATTTATCCAAATGGTAGAAGAACAGGGGCTTAAACCTGGGTTTTCCCAGCTGAGTTCAGGATTGTTCTAGAACTGCCACCCACCCCAAGCATAAATAAGGTTATTCCTGGGCTCCTCATGATGCAAGTCCTCTGAAACCCAGAGAAGAATGCAGGGGAGAGGCCCTCTCACTGTGAGCAGGGGGTCCAGGGCCATTTCCTATTGGAGGATCTGGCAGTTGTGTCTGCGAGAAGGTCATTTTCTTTCCTGGATACGGGAAGGGCTGTGTAGACTCCTGGCTCACAGCAGTGTCTTCGTTTCTTCCTCCAAAACCAAAGCCTCCTCGTGGTCAAGTGCAAGCTGGAGTCCAATGTCCGGTGCATCTCCACTGAGCATGAGTTGCTCATCAGTGAGTTCGGCTCAGCTGACAAGAGGGCCAAGTAAGTGGTGAGCACCCCGAGCCAGGCTGCCTGCTGAGGACCCGGCCACCCAGGCCAGGGAAGGCTGTCTCCCCTCTCACGGGTCGTTGTGGAATCTCAGCACACCCCCAGTGAGGATGGGCCATGCTCTGGGGAGGCCAGAGGCTTTTCTGAAAAGCTAAACGTGAAAGTAAGGAATAATTACAAGCTATACATGATCACGTGGGAGGTAAGAGTTGAGGCCTGGGGACACAGATCACAGGAGCCACAGAGGTGGGCTCATTCATCTGGGCAGGCTTTTTGGCAAGGAGGAGGTTAAAGCAGCCACGAGGGAAGTCTTAATGGAAGCAAGATGGGTGCCATGCCCAGGGGCTCAGGGATGGACGTCGGCAAGATGTGCCACCAGGGGTTTTTGCCCCAGTGTCCCTTTGGGGGCTCACACATACGACCTCGAGTGGTGGATACTATGTATCCCACTTTAAAGATGAGTAAATACAGATTTTATGGTCAGGGATCTCATACTTGATTGAAACACCAGGCTTCCCAGAACACTGCTGGCCGTATTTGGTACTACGTCCTGAAAGCATAGACCCACACTGAGGACACAGCAGACCCTCCGTGAGTACTTGTGGAATGAATGCAAGAATGAATGGGGAGGACAGTGACTGTGATGGGGTATGGGGGGAACTCGATAATAAGGGTGAATGTAATAACCACATTGTTTTTCTTGTGAAACCTTCATAAGAATGTATATCAATGATACCTTAAAAAAAAAAGGAATGAGTGGGCAAAACAACTTGCTGAAGGCCACACAGGGGCAGGTACCAGCCTGCATCCCCTATCCCAGATCATGCCTTCCCCACCCTCTGGGCTGTGCCCCTCAAGGCGCAGAGAGCAATGAGTGTGGTTGGGCAGAACCAGCTGGGGAGCCCGCGGGACTGGCTGGCCTGCCTCCTCCACCTTTTCCTCGGAGCACCAGGCGTCCCCTCCCCCAAACCCCAGGAGCATGTCAGCGAGGCTCGCCTCATGAACCCCTTAGCTTCCCAGGAGACAAGGTGGCTGTCTCTCAAAGGCTCTATGAGCCGGGAAGGGAACCCCGCTCCAGCTCCTGCTCTCCTCCCAGCCGCCCACCCTGCAGCTGCCGCACAGTGGAAGAACTGCAGCGAGAGCAGGACCACTGCATGCACCTGCAGAGAATCAAGAAGAAGAATGAGATCACCATCAAAGACTTGCAGGCCGAGATGGAGGAGGCTGAGCAGCTGAAAGGAGGGAAGCACAGGATCGTGAAGCCGGAAGCCAAGCTGAGGGCAGCACTGAGCTGAGCCAGGAGAGGAAAGGGAGATACGGCCAGGCAAGGGCAGAGGGCTCCTTTTCCCAAAACTCCGTGGTTGATGAGGAACGGGTTTATTCAGTTGCTAGGAAAGAAAAGGAAATTGAGACAACAGCTCTAATTTATTTATGCAAAGGTCTCCTCTCCCTGCCACCTTTCCCCCGAATGGCCTTAGCCATCAAGCAGAGTTCCCAGTATTCCTCCTCTGTCCCTGTACTTACAGCAAGCCTTAGTCTTTACCTCCTGGGATGTCAGAGCTGCAAGGGCCCAGGAGGTCTGCTCACCTTGTCTGACCCCTGCCTGCCCCATTTCCTGGAGGAGGACACTTGAGGCACAGGGACAGTGACAACCAAGGCCCAGCCCGTGAAAGGCAGAGCCCACCTAGCCCTCGTGTCCAGGGCTCCCCTGCTCACCCTGGGCCAGAAGTGGACACCAGAGCCACGACACCCCTGCCCAAGGCCCAGAGCTCCTTCAGTGGAGCTCCGAAGTTCAAAAATAACATGTTCCTGCAGCCGCATTCCTCTCTCCCTCCATCAGATCAAGGAACAGGAGACTGAGCTGGATGGCAAGCAGGAATGGCACGTGGAGATGGACAAGACGCTGCGGAAGAACGAGTGCCACCTCAAAGACCTTGTCTTTGACAGAGGGGGACCACAACACCAACCAGCGCCTGCAGGAGCTGGTGGAGAAGCTGCAGAACAAGCTGAAGGTGCACAGCAGCAGATTGAAGAGTGGTGGCTGCTCACTGCGCATCCCTGATTCTCCTTCCCTTCCCAGCCCAGGTCTTAACACTTGATTAGAATTAACCAAGCATTGGCCAAAGGACGACTCCTGTGAGCTCCACGCCCACGGCACTTCATCCTCACTGTCAGGAGGGAAGTGGACTGAGCACTGCGCGCCGGAGAGAAGATGTGTGATAAATGAGACTACCCACAAAGACCACCCATGCCAACTGAAGTCCCCTCTGCTGGGGTGAGCTAAGCTCAGGGAAGGTCCTAGTGGCCATTGTTCTGCTTCCACTGCCTCCTGTGGCCTCTCCCTCCTGGTGACACTGTTAAACACAAGACCTGCCCTTCCTTGATCCTCCTGACACAAGGCAGGAAGGCTGGTATGTTTAGTCTGTTCTGCAAGTGGGGAACAGACCAGAATGGGGGATGTATGTTATGTTTGCAAAAAAAAGTCAAAATCAAATGGTTAGCAAATGGAGGCTTCAAGTGTCACTCCTACACCACATGTCCACATCCCACCCCATCCCTGGACATAGATATTTGATTCCGCTGTCATTTGCTGCCAATTCTGGGGCCACCACATTGAATCCATCAGCCACCCACACACCCAATGCCCTTCCCAAAAGGCTCAATAAAGACCAGACTTCCAGTAAATATGCATCTAATCAAAATGTTCTATTGGGAAATGAGGGGTGTGAAATGCTAAATCCCATCTTCCACAGTGGGACACCAATAACTAATGCCTGAAACCACAAATTATAGATGCAGCAACAGAGCACATTTTACTTTGAAATACAGACATCAAGACCAAAAAGAATCAGCTGCAAGTGTTGAAGACACAAGTTGTCTCTGACGAGCTGGGAAACGTTCCTGTCCTAGGACTGCTGTGTATTGTAACAAGACTTACAGAATAATGCCACTCTCAAATATCCACCTAAACTGGTAGCAATGCTCACTTAACCAGAACGAGCTAGGTTTACACCCCTCCTTCCACCACGCCTTTGTCACAGGAGTTGCAGGTCAACCAGACCTTGGCTTGCTACAGGAAGACAGTGTGCGAGCTGGATGACGCCAAGGAGCGGGCCAGCATGGCCGAGACCACTCGCAACAAGCTGTTCACCAGACACCACATGGCTGGCAAAGGCATTATCTCAGTGGAGATCATCCAGGTGTCCAAGACAGGCTCCTTCAAAACCATTTCTGAGGAGGGCCTCTGTGTTCCTCCCCACAGCCAGGAGGTGGTATGGCTCCACTCTCCACGCCCAAGTTCCAAGTTCACCTGCCCTGCTCCTGTTGTGCGCCTTCCCACTTCTCTGCTTCCCAGCTTCCAGTCTGCCAGGGCCTGATCTCCTGCTTCAGGAACCCCAAAGCTTCCCTTGTCCCTCCAGCTGCAGCACTCCCTCTGGCTTCTCAAAGCTCTTGCGTGGTGCTGTCCACCTGAATCACAGGTACTGGTGGTCATGACACTCCCCCAGCTGAGCAGAAGCTCTGTGAAGGCAGGTCCCTCATCTAATGCCACCTGACACGAAACCCGGCAAATAGGCACAAAGTACATGTTTGTTTTCAGTGGAGGTCCACAGGGACATCTGCAAGCTCACGGGCAGGGTATATTCACCTTCACACCCCTACAGAATCATTAGCCCTGAGCATTTCAGTACCATCTGAATTTAGGTTTCTAACATTAAGGAAATAATAATCATGGCTACCATTTCTTGAGCACTGAATACAAGTGGGATTTTAGGTGGACAATTTATAATAATCCTTTCTTATCTCAGAATCAGTTTTCCTTAACTAGAATCAACTGAGAAAACAATACAGACCAATGTATAAAAGTCAAAAAGCTAGTTGTATTATGCTATAATTCTAGATTGAGAATTTAATGGGTGTCCACCATGGGCATCCTTGTTCTTCACCCCAGAATTAAAGGTGCCGACAAAGCTGAACAACCACAGCCCAGCTCCCTGGGGAGCAGCCTCTGTTCCATGAGGAGGAATGGCCAGAACCCACTGACCCTGCAGCTAGATTCAAAGGAGACCAGAGGGGGTTCAACCCTGTTTTCCTGGTTCCTTCTTAAATCTCAGGCTAAATCATTCTTCCCATGACAGGAGCAAGGGAAAGGTGAGGAGAGAGGCAAAGAACATGATTTGAGAGCAGGGGTTCCCAGAACACGGTCCTCTGGACCAGCTGCATCAGCTTGCCCAGGGGAGTTAGCATTCTGAGCTTCACTCTGACCTGCTGCATTAAAGCCTGGGGTGGACCCAGCATCTATGGTGAGCCAGCCCTCCAGGTATTCATAGCGATGGTCAAGTCTGCGAACAAATGCTGCAGCAGAAATCCCTTGTGGAGAAACAGAGCCAGGGAATGGAGGTTTCTCCTACTTTTACAAGAGCCAGGCATGTGGTAAGTGTTTTTCACAGTCTTTTTTATCCTATGAGGTAGATACAAACATCTCCATTTCTCAAGTAAGGAAAATGAGCTCAGAGAAGTTCAGTGACTTGCCCATGGTCATACCAGCCCCCTGCCTTGCAAAGGCAAGCTTTTATTATTATATTATATAATTTTTTATTTCAACTACTGTTTAGCTTTAATCAGGATGACTCAAGATCAAGGACCTGGCTCGGGTTGTGAGGAGCAGGGAGATGGAGTCTCCCTGCTGATGGGCTGATGCTCTACCTCTGCGAATTCGGGGAACCTTTTCTGGCTTCATGTTCAGACATCTGATTGAACCAGCCCTCAGTTAGGGTAAAGTTCCCTGCTCATTTACAGCTCTCTCTCTCTCTCTCTCTCTCTCTCTCTCTCTTTCAGGGCTGGGCAGTTTGGATTGTAGCCAAATGTGATAACCCACTGACCTCTGAATTCAAGCTGAGGCTTTTCTTGCCAGTTGGTTAGGGAGGAAACAAAAAATAGAACAGAATATCTTTCCTTAATTCTCTTACTCTCAAGTAATGATTAGCTTGGGAATATAGGGAAACCAGAGGCTTATCTCTGGATGAAGCACATGACTGTGTAACTATCTCCCTCAGGCCAAACACCTGAAAGGAGTCCCTCTCCTAAGCTCTCACCTTGGCAGGGGTTTACTCGTTGGCTGCTTCCCATACCACCCAGATGCAGGAGTTTTAGCTCCTTCCACCTGCTAAGTTTTAGTGGCCAGTATTAGACACCCTGTAAAGCAGATCCCCTGCCTTGGCTTGGTGACTTTATTCCTGGGCTCTGCTGGCCCTGATCGTTGGTCTGTCTCCTTCCACACCCCCAGGCCACAGCACTGCCCACAGTACCCACTGGTGATGCGGCTGGGCCCCTGGGGTCTGCTCGCCAAGTCCCGATCCATCTTCACTCTTTGCCATTTCCCCTCATTGGCCACAGGGCTAGATTAGCCATGAGATGTCTAAAGCAAACTAGTACACGAGTCAGCATTGAGCCAACATCCCACAGAATTTTCCAAAGTGGCACTGTATTCGGTCCCATAAATACTGACCAAGCTCTGAATATGGGATAGACCTATACTGTGGGCTACAGAGATGAATAAGAAAGAATGTCCTCCATCGTGGAGCTCAGAATCAGGCAGAGAGGTAGATGCACACTTCAATCACAAGGCTGTGAGCAAATGTTCTGTGACATGTGGTGTTTACATCTCACGGGAAGAGATCACAGGGGAGGAGCCACTGGTTTTACCTGCGGTGGCTGAATGCAGCAGCTCCACAGAGAATGTGACCCGCACAGGAGTCTAGAGCAGTGCCACTCAGTGGGTGGTCCACTCTCTCTCTCTCTCTCTCTCTCTCTCTCTCTTTCAGGGCTGGGCAGTTTGGATTGTAGCCAAATGTGATAACCCACTGACCTCTGAATTCAAGCTGAGGCTTTTCTTGCCAGTTGGTTAGGGAGGAAACAAAAAATAGAACAGAATATCTTTCCTTAATTCTCTTACTCTCAAGTAATGATTAGCTTGGGAATATAGGGAAACCAGAGGCTTATCTCTGGATGAAGCACATGACTGTGTAACTATCTCCCTCAGGCCAAACACCTGAAAGGAGTCCCTCTCCTAAGCTCTCACCTTGGCAGGGGTTTACTCGTTGGCTGCTTCCCATACCACCCAGATGCAGGAGTTTTAGCTCCTTCCACCTGCTAAGTTTTAGTGGCCAGTATTAGACACCCTGTAAAGCAGATCCCCTGCCTTGGCTTGGTGACTTTATTCCTGGGCTCTGCTGGCCCTGATCGTTGGTCTGTCTCCTTCCACACCCCCAGGCCACAGCACTGCCCACAGTACCCACTGGTGATGCGGCTGGGCCCCTGGGGTCTGCTCGCCAAGTCCCGATCCATCTTCACTCTTTGCCATTTCCCCTCATTGGCCACAGGGCTAGATTAGCCATGAGATGTCTAAAGCAAACTAGTACACGAGTCAGCATTGAGCCAACATCCCACAGAATTTTCCAAAGTGGCACTGTATTCGGTCCCATAAATACTGACCAAGCTCTGAATATGGGATAGACCTATACTGTGGGCTACAGAGATGAATAAGAAAGAATGTCCTCCATCGTGGAGCTCAGAATCAGGCAGAGAGGTAGATGCACACTTCAATCACAAGGCTGTGAGCAAATGTTCTGTGACATGTGGTGTTTACATCTCACGGGAAGAGATCACAGGGGAGGAGCCACTGGTTTTACCTGCGGTGGCTGAATGCAGCAGCTCCACAGAGAATGTGACCCGCACAGGAGTCTAGAGCAGTGCCACTCAGTGGGTGGTCCCTGTTTGTTACCTGCTTAAAACACCAGACGTATAGAAACTGAGAGGAAGTTTTCAGAAATTTTTATAGCAATTGATGCTACCATGACATCCAAGTGCATTATCAACATACTTTATGAAAGTGTTAGACTCTGATATTAAAATAAATACAAATGAAAAAAAATTAATAAAAATGTAAAAGAAAACATAAAACTGATTCCTCACCAGGTAAAGAAATGAGTTCCAGAGGGTCTGACATGCCAAAGTGCAGAGGTGGGATTCACAAAGAGTACAGCGTGGCCAGAGGAGGGGCTCAGGATGGGACAAGAGTGCTGGACCGGGCAGGAGCCGAGGCTGACGGGACAGGTGTCAGGGAGGCCATGAAGGGCCCTGTTGAGCCCAAGTATTCCACAATCTCCATACAGAAATCTTGCCAATTTTTAAAACCCATCTGTGGGATATGATGAACAGCAGCTTTTCTTTCTCAGGAAGACACGTCACAATGGCAGAATGAGCCTCTTGGCCCCTCAGAAGACCCCTGGGCTTATGGTGGGCACTGCACGTCAGGACTCACACTCACACCCTCTCAGCACCTGGGTGGAGTTAGGCCTCAAAGCCTCACAGAGCCAGGTGTGACCCAATGGTGTCCACTACAAGGCAGGAAGCCTGTGCAGAAGCAGTCCTGGCATCCTGGGGTACTGTCTTTCTAGCAAGAAGTGGGCAAAGATGTCAACTCCCAGCTCCCCCTCTTTTTTTCTTCCAGGGTGATGCAGATCTCAACAGCAGACCACACCATTGAGAAGAAAAATATACAAAAATAGAAAACTGGGTCTATCCTGATAATGTTTACTATGCAAAGGAAAGTGCAAGCCAGAAAGAAACAGGTGCTAAAGAAGAGAGAGAGCCAGGGGGGCGGGGGTAATGGGTTTAAGGATGTAAATATCCAGCCAGGAGGAGCTAAAATTAGTGTGGCTTCTCTGAGACTGTCACAAGCTCTGTACGCTCTTGGATGCCAGTAACAGTGGGTCTGTTTTAGTTGAGATCCTCCATGTTCATGTCAAGAATGGAATATGTAATGTCTGTGTGACCTGGCTGTTCTCTAGAAATAATTCCTCACATTGGCAATTTTAATGCTTTGACCCAATACAGCTTAAATAAAAGAAACATGAAAATAGACCAACTAAAGATTGTTTTTAAGTGAAGAAATTTTATTTTTCTAAGACTTCCAAACCTAAGACTTTCGAGAGGCAATTTTTACAATATATCAGAGTTCACAGACTTGTTTCTATTGGAAACCATGAAAACTCTGCAGTCTTGGTGAGACTTGGTGTCACTTCTCTGCAGATTCTGAAAGGGTGTATCAGAGACAGGAAGATGAACAAGGTTTCATAAAACGAGCAAATTATGGAATCTGAAGGGATGTTAAGATCCATCCAGGCTAACAACCTATGAGGCCGCGGGCAAGCTCCACCTCAGTATATCCTGGGATATTCAGACATGGGCAGGTCAGCTCTGTGAGGACAGCCAGGTTTCTGTGTTTTATTCACTGCCACAACCTCAGCAACTAGAGTGCCAGGCCTAGTGGGCATAAATACATGTAGTCAATGAATGATGGAGAACAAGGTGCTCCAAGGTTGTCCTACCTGACATTGTCAGAAAGTTTTTCCTTAAATCAAGCTGAGGCCTGTCCCCTGGTGGCATCCACTCGGAACCCTGCAGAACAACCTTAATGGAAGACAGTCCTCAGGGTTCCTGAAAGTTTCTCTTCCCTGGGCTGAATATTCCTGGGTCTGCCAACCTTCCCAAGTATGACAGGGTTTCCACTGTCACCTTCTACCACTTCTCAACCCTGTTCTTCTCCTCACTCTCTTTGGAGTGCAGAGGCAGAGGGCTGACAGTTCACAGCCCTCAGAAAGCAACTTTCCCCCGCTTGCTGGAAACAGCGCCTTCCCTTTGACTTTCAGCACTCTGACTTCCTCCAATCCACTGGCAGGCAGAAATCATTGTCCAGACTAGTAGAGGAAGGGATATTAGCATTTTTCTGGGGACCCTCTCTACCTGCACACAGGCCCTTGTCCTCCTTGTGATGGTTCTAAGCTTGGTGCTCCAGCGGAAACACTGGGTTCCTTCTGTGCAAATGGACCAAATGTGGAGACACTGCCCTCTGCTGGTAGGGTCTCCAACTGTGTGTGTGGATTTCCTAGGAGACACCAAATCACGGAATCTTAGAATTGTATTAGAATTTTAGCACTCAAAGGGACATTCAGAGGGTGTCTAGACCAACTCTCGGCCAAGTGGGGGTTTACCTCCATAACCGCCCTGAAAAAATGGTGATCCAACTTGTACCTGAGCCCTCCCGGTGGAAAAAGGCAGCCTGTTGCAGTTTTGCTGACAATTACGGTTCAGAAGTCCCACCTAATACTGAGCCAGAACTTGTCACGGTATATTTTGCCCTTATTTTGATCTACTTTTCATCTCTGTAATTACATAAATGAGTCTAATTCTTACACTTTGACGTCAGACAGCTATGGATTCCACTTTCCCAGCAGTGTGACCTTGACCTTGGGCAACTTAACCTATATCACCTCCTATTTTCTCAACGATTCAATGAGGAATAATAACAGCATCTGCCTCATAGGAATGAAGTTTAAACAAGATAACCTGGCACAGAGCCTATCTGTGCATGACACTTACACTTGCCAAGTTTCTTTCCGCATTCCGTAGGACGTAACACTTGGTTTCCTGAGAGACGCTTGGCAAGGCCTGTCAGTCTAGTAGCTGACAGCAGCAGGCCTCTTGCTAGAGAAATGCAATTGCATTCCGTGGGAGGATAGTCCACACGTGATTTCCCCACACCCAGAGAATTGCAGAGCAACTCATCACTTTGAGAGGAGGAAGGGGGCAGGTGCAGACAGGCTCAGTGACTTGCTCAAGACCATTCAGTTAATGGCACAGCTAGAAATTCTTTGTACCATGAGATGAGGTGAGGTTTCTGACCCAGTATTCACTTAGCTACACATGCTATTTTTACCTAAGGACATGTAATTTCAGAATGGCTTGAAGACCTCTGTGGATAAAATGAGAGTTCCTGTGGCCAGGATTCTCACCTGGCCGTGGTTGACTAGCTCACTGCACACCTGTGGGCAATACATGGCTGTTGACTCTATAAAAAGAGCTCCACCCAGTGCTCTGAGTGCAATACGCTGGCAGGGCTGCAAGGCTGCAGGAGAGCAGAGCAGAGCAGAGCAGAGGACAGAGGCCCAGAGGACGGCTGTGCAGGCCGACTGTGCAGGCAGAGAGGCCCAGAGGCATAGACCAGCTTGCTGCATGCAGACTCGCTCTGAGTGAATGGGATTCTAGTGACTGACCTGCCACCTCGAAATAAAGTATAACTCTTTCACCCCAAGAGTGTTTTGCTGTCATTTTCTTTGGTCATATTGAATCCATAGCGAACTTGCCTGGGGCTGAAACCCATTGGCAAGACAACCTCAAAGATTATGGCCTTGCAAAACAGTAACACTAGCTAGTGTCCATGATGATTGAAATCAGGGCACTGGTACCATGTTCTACAGAGTAAATGGAGCAAAGACCATTTAAATAATTTTGCTAAATGTTTTGAGCTGACTTTGAAGGCCGCTAATATCTGTATCACTAATTGTATTAACTGTATTTTATTTTCTGTATTCTTGATGCTCCAGCACCTGGGGGCCTCCCTGACTAAGGAGATACTGCCTCTTCCAGGGCTAGCCAATTCTTAAAAAGATTAGAAACAGCTTTCACACACAGACTAACCAAACTGGAGGCCACACTCCTAATCACCTCTGTCTAGCTCTCATACTCTAGGAGGCAATTCTCACCTGCCCTAATTATCCCAGGGCCAAATACCAAGGCAGGTAGGGACAGCCCCTATATACCTCAGAGCCTGATGAAATTATCCAAACTAGCCAATTCTAAACCTGCTTACCCTGCCTCACCTGGTCCTTCCCAAGAAAGCCACAGTAAAGGTTTGTGCCCATGCTTTCTCCTCATGCATTCTGCCTCCTGACCAGCCCTGGTGCTTCCCGACGTGGCCCTCAGTGGCATGCCATGCTGTGCCTCCTGCTTCCAGGGATGGGTCTGTGAGCATAAAAACTTCTTCCCTCAAGACAATAATTTCCATGTCTGTCTTACCTACCTGAGTAAAACAAATCCAAGGTACATTTAAAAACACTAATTGCCTTCCTCCTCCTTTCACACGTGAAGCAATCTTGGGTCCTTGTGGGGAAACCAGCAAGTTTAGGGTCTGCCCCACGGACCCTGTGGAGTACACCTTTAGGTGTGACAAAATTGTCACAAAGATTCCCTGACCCTTTCACCTACAAACTACCAGGAACTGGGGTTGGAGATCTGCTGTGAACTCAAGGCCAACTTTGAGTTATCACAGAATCACAAGGCTGAAACGGAACCTGCTGGCTATTATAAGGGACCGTTTTCCCCTACTTCCTGAACCAGCCTCATGAAAAATGTATCCTGTGACTCTAAAGCAGTGATTCCATAAAACTTTCTCTAGACATTTTAAAAAACAACCTGTAAAAATAGGTAGCAAAATAGTAGCAAAATAGTAAACAGATGTTTAGACCAGGGGAAACCTGTATTATGAGAATTAGTTTAGCAATTAGGAAAGCTACTGTGGGGTAGGTACAAGATGCTACAGGGGAGGCACTAAGCCCAGTCCTGAAAGATAAAGGGAGGTGTTATGGAGGAAATCATGTTTGCCAAAGTCTAAGGATGAGTACGAGTTAGGCATAAAGGGGAGGAAGAGTATGTGGGGACAGAAGGTGGGAGTAGGACCAGCTAATAGGGTACTCGGTGGCAGGAAATAGCACACAAACCAAGAGTGGCACAGCCACAGAGGCACTTGGTGGTCTTACACTCTGTGGGGAAGTTGGGGTTCCTATGGCCAGGATCCTCACTGAACTTAAACCACCTGATGATGTAACTGGCCTGTCACTAGGCTACCGCTTCCACACCTTTAGGCAATAAGCTCTTATTGCACTACATAGAGAGCTCAGCCCAGTGCTGTAGGTGGAGGCAGAGATGCTAGTGCTTGACCTACTGCCAGGAGAACATGCCGGGTAATAAACCCTTTCACCCCAAAGAAACATTCTACTGTCATTTCTTGCCAGGGGCAAGACACACTCCAAACCCTACAGTCAGTTTCAGAGTTAGTGCAAGTCAAGGACTCCAGTTTCCATCCTCCCGCATCACTTTATTCTTGAGTTTGTCAGTACAGCTGCCACAGCTCTAAGCATCATATCTTCCCACAACCATTTTCAAGACAGGAAAAAGATAAGACTTCCTCACCATCCTTTTTATCAGGGAGCATATTTTCCCCACAGAAGCTCCCCAGGAGACTTCCTCTTAAGTCCTGATTGACAGAAATGAGTCACATGCCCATTCCTAATCAGCAGCAAGTGGTAGTGGGGTTGGACCGAATGTGGTTCATTCCCTGGACTAGGAAAGGGCCTGACTTCCCTGAGGGCCACCTGAACAAAAGTGGGGATGCCAAGGGAGGAAAGGTGATGTGTGGATAGCCAGAGTGTGTGTCTGCCACAAAAAAGACACGGTGAGAGTCCTTGGTGACCTATTATGAAGTGTGGACTTTATGCAGAAGGCAAGGGAGGTTTGTCATGATTCGATTCAGGTCATGTATTTTTGGCAGGAATACTATGGAAAGCAGAGCTGTTTTCCACCACCACATCGCTGGATGACACATGATGTCAGTGGGTGCTGTTGTTAGTGATGTCAGCTGTGATCTCTCAGTGAAGGTGGTGTCCACCCCAGTTGAAGAACACCTATAACAGGTGTGAGCTCTTTAAGACTATTTGTGTCCTGAAAGGCAAAGAAGAAAAGGCTGAGAAACTGTTTCAAATAAGACTGAAGAAACATGCACGACATGCAACAAACGATCTTGGATTGGCTTTAAGATCAAGAAAAAAATTTCTCAAAAGGATATTATTGGAACAATCAGTGAAATTTGAATGTGAACTTATAATTATGTGTTATATAATTAAGTTATGCAGTTAGCTTATGTTAATTATTGTTATACTAAATAATACTGAAATAATGTTAAATGTCCTGAATTTGACCATTGTGTTGCGGTTACATAAGAGAAGGTCCTTGTTGTTCAGTTACATACTGAAAAATTTAGGGATGAAGAGTCATGATGTCTTTGACTTTCAAATGGTTCAATGAATAATAAAAATAATAACCATTGTTGTTATTTACATATATGTATACATATAAGATAGAATGATAAAGCAGATGCGACAAAATGTTAACTGGTGAATCTAAGTAAACAGGTATACTGATATTCATTATACTATTTCTGCAACTTTTCTGTAGGTTTGAAAGCTTTTTTAGGGGGAAATGAAAGAAATACATAGGTGGTAGATGTGATGTGATATGACTTGGTGACTGACTGCCTGGGAGGCAGTAACCAATCTATGGTAGGGGATGACACCTTGAAGTGGGAGGTAAAGAAGAGAGTAGACCCTGAGGTGGGAAGGAGAGGAGAAATAATGGGTCTTAAACATATTGAACTGAAGTGGGAGCTGATGAGACACCAGGCAGAGCAGCTCAGTGGCAGTCAGAACTATCAGGAGTCAGGAGTGAAATGACATGAGGATCAGCAACCTAAGGGTGATGGTTGAAGCCAAGAGCTTGTGTGATCACTTAGGGTGTGTGCGGGGGGAGGCGGAACTTGGGTTCATATGCATTATCGTTCAGGCTCACAGCAGGACCAAACACGAACAGCTATGCTCAGGAGCAAACCAGCTGTTTCACTCAGCACTCTTGCCAAATAATCACTATCCTGATTATAGGTAGTTTTCTGCTACCTCAAAACTTGTTCCTGAAGAGACACTCTGTGTTGGTTAACTTCCCCTCAGGTGTGGAATTACTCAGCATTTGCCAACATCTTCATTTGGGAGTGTGACATAAGAAGCCTACAAATACATGCACATAAAATCAGAGGCATGCTATATGCTACAGAACTACAGTCATCCCAGGTTAATGTATTCCTGAAAGCAACTCTAAAATCAAAGGAACCTATTTTACATTATATTAAATAAGAAATTAAGAATGCATTCACCGCCTGTCCAAAAACTCCAACCAATTTCTCTAAATATCACTAAAACCCTCAACACCTATAAAAAATTCTTCAACCATTTCTGCACAATATAAACATTTTAAAACACCAATTACCTAATTATTTAACACTTAATGAACTCCATAGTGATCACATTTGTGAGCAGTACACAGTGATATGCACCATATCAGATAAGAATTAAACTTCTCTTTTAACAATCACTATACATATACTGCAAAGCAAACAATGTAATAATGTGTTAAAGACATATAATTCATGCAATCAAATCTGGCAAAATAAAATAGACAAATACAGTAATTTTTTTAAATGGTTACTTACCAAATAATTTTGGTAACGGAGGACTAGGACAACAGACAACTCTCCCACTAATGGTAACTAGAAAAGTGGACAGAATATACAAAACATCTACTCAAAGATAAGAAAGAACTAATAAGTAGTAAATACAAATCAATACCCAAGAAGAAAAAGAACATCAGAGAGTGAGTGCAGCATTTTAGGAATGCTTTACCTAAATGGCTATTTGCTGATTTCAGAACAAATGGTTGAGAGGCTGAGCAATACTTTTTAACAGCTTATCATATCTACAGACACAAAAGGTATAGAGTCCAGAGCTCTGCAAGAACAAGGGTCCAGCTAAGTATGTGTTACATTAGTCAGGGTTTTCCAGAGAAATTGAACCAATAGGAGAGAAAGCAAGAGTGAGAGGGAGAGGAGGAGATAGATATAAAGAGATTTATTATAAAGAATTGGCTTAAGTGATTATGGAGGCAGGTAAGTAAAAAATCTGCAGAGCTGATGTCCCAGTTCAAGTCCAAAGGTCAGAAGCTGCTGTAGAACTAGAAAGAGACAATGTTCCAGTTTAAAGGCTGTCAGGCAGGAGGACAGTCTTTTGTTCTATTCAGACCTTCAACTAATTGGGTGAGGCCCACCCACATTAGGGAGAGCAATCTGCTTTATTCAGTCTACCAATCTAAATGCCAGTCTCATCCCAAAACACCCTCACAGAAACACCGAGAATAGCCTTTCACCAAATATCTGGGTATCCCATGGCTCAGTCAAATTGAAAAATAAAATTAACCATCACACCTGTTGGTTGGGACACTAGGAGTAAGGGTGAATTAGAAGATGAATATTCTTCCAAGGATTGGAGCTTAGCTTTGACTCATCTGGATGACCCAGAAAATCTCAAATCCTAAAATTAGGTAAGGGTGACCCCAGGTTGCTGACATACTCAGGCACCTTGCAAAATGAAAATGGAAATCTTATCTGGGCAAAGATAAAATCATTTTAGGTCTCAAATTATTCCTACACAATTATGTTAGACACAATGCTGGCAACCAAGCATAGGAGAAGACAAGAACATAAATGAGAACTAGTCAAAACAACATGTTGGTAACAAAAACAATCCCACAGGACCTCAAGAAAATGGTAAATATATAGTATTTACTATAGAATTAAAATACATGAGAAGAATAGCATATAACTGTGGGGAAGGATAATAATGAAGTGAAGATACTCTAAGACCTTTGCATAAAGTACTAACCATGGGTATGCTGGTAAATGTTGAACAACCAGCTCTCTGTAGGACAAAAGTCCTATAGCCTTTGCCACTCTCCATGGTGTAAATGCTCCCACCATGGCCAATTTCAACAAGTGGTTGTTGAACATGGAGTTGGGAAGAGATGGGCACAATCAGCTGTCCTGAGTCAGTGTGAGCTGGCTCCAGCACACCTTTAAATTAGTCCTTGTAAATGGAATAATTTTAAAAAATCCAAAAGAAGGCAAGAAAGGAGAGAAGACAAGAAAGAAGAATAGGCAGGACAAAAATAAAGCATATAATAAGACGGTAGAGTTAAACTCAAATATATCAGTAATTACTTTAAATGTAAATAGACTAGATATTTCAGTTAAAAAATATACAATAAAAATAAAAAGCAACTATACATTGTTTATGAGCAATACATTCAAAAACATAAGGTAATAGAAAAGTTGAAAGTTTAAAAAGAGAAAAAAATATACTAGGCAAATACTAACCAAAAGAAAGCTGGTATAGCTGTATTAATATCAGAGGAGTAAACATTAAGACAAAAAACACTGTTAGAAAGGAATATTTCATGATAAAATATTTATCAGAAGACACAGAAGCATCTATAATATAGCCTCAAAATACATAAAGAAAAAATGATAGAATTAGAGTAGACAGAGAAATCCACAATCATTTGGGAGACACACCTTTCTTAGTAACTGAAAGAAAAGCAAGCAAAAATAAGTCAGTAATTAAGCTAGAAATTATGCAATTAAGGCAGAAATCAGTAACAAAACGTAACGTAAAACTTCCATGCTTAGATATTAAGAAATGGCAATCCTACACAAACTCTTCCTAAAAATTTAAGAGAAAGTAATACTTTTGAATGCTAAAATGCCAGAATTATTCTTATACCAAAACTAGAAATTACAAGTAAACTACAAAATAATATCCTTCATGAGAAAAAAAGTTAAATAGGATTTAAAATTGTTAGTTTCTTACCAAATCGTAGCAACTGAATACAATAATGTGTAAGAAGAATAATACATCAAGACCAAGTAGGACTTTTCCCAACAAAAGTTTAGTTTAACACTGTAAATCAATCAATGTAAAAACTATAAAACCTCTAGAAAACAATAGGAGAAAACCTACCTGACCTTGGGTTAGGCAAAGATTTCTTGGGCATGATACCTGATAAATGGACTTCCTCAAAACTCAGAACTTCTGCTCCCTGAAAGATATTAAGAGAATGCCTGGAGAGAAGCCACAATTGGAAAATAATTGTGACAATCAACTTGGTACAGTATGTTTAGATAATAATTGCCACAATTTTTTGACTGCTTCTAATGTCCCAAGAACTGTCAGGCACTATATATACATTTCTCCATCTTAATCCGTAGAACAACCCTAAGCAGTGGAATCTATTATCCTCATTTGACAGGTAAATTTTGAGTTGATTGACTTGCCCAAACTCACTGAAGCTGGTAATCTGCAGTCAGAATTTGAACCCAGTTTTAGTTCTTTCTAAAGAACTCTCTTAAGCACTCCATCACACCACCTTTTTATTAAAGTAATCTAAAATTGCATAACAACATGAAAAAAGTGTTAGAAACAAAACGTTTAAGTGGGCCTTCCTTCCAGGAGATTTACAGGCTAGTGCACTACAGACTTCACTTCCCAATTTAAAAAAACAATACCTGGCATTCAGATGTATGCATATGTGCCTGTCTTATAAGTACGGTATTTGTAATAGTGTGCTATTTATATACCATCAGGACTACCTTATGCTCCTACACCCCATAAACTGGTCCCATCCCTGTGCTATGGAAATGAACTGGGTAAACATCTTAGAGTGGAAAACTGCATCCATTCTTCAGTCCCTCTGCACTGAATTGTACAAGATCCTTCCTGCAGGAAACTTACCCTCCTTGGGATCATATTGGGACAATATCTAAAGCTTAAGGATTATTAAGTTTTAATACAGAGTATGCATTTTATATTTTTGGCCTTTTGTTTACTTATAGCTTTTATAGGCATTGATTCAATAATATTTCCAACAGTCTTTGTGGTAAGTAGGTGGTAGACATCAACCCATGTAAGGGACAGGAGTCAGATTGGCAGTAACTATTCACTATTGTTCAGCTGGTAGCACAAGCAAGATCCTCTCTTCTAAATCAAAGCTCTCCTGAGCAGAAGGAAATCCTTAGGCCTTTACAAACACACCACTTTTCCAACCCTTGAGTAATTTTGTTCCTGATGGGTCTATACAAGCTCCTCCCATTTACAACTGATTGTAATCTCTGTTCTTTGAAATTCCATTATTTCATTTATACGTAGTTTCATTCAACAAACATTAATTAAGACCTTCCAGATTCAAGGAACTGCGCATATCTTTGTATTAAAATTATGTGAACTGGTCATATTCTAGTCTCTAAGTTCCCGACAGAAGGATCCTACCCAACTCTCCTGTAAATTGCATAATGCTTAAAACATACTTGGCACTTGGTGAGTACTCCTTAAATATTGATGACTTCAAGTTTGACAAATTCCAGTTCAACCCTGCTCCAATGCCAATAAAATCAATAAAGCAAACAAAATCCTGCTCCGACAGTCTCCAACCCTTCTTCTTCCCATTTCCCATTGCTAAGTATGTTCCCTAGTACTAATTGTTTTAAGGAGCCCTCATTTTGGATGTGAAATCAGTGTCATTATGCAAGTCTGAAAATCGAAACACTAAAAATAACTCACCATCCTTGGAACTCCAATGGTTCTTATACCAGGGCATCATGGTATAATGGGAAATGCTCTGGGATAGGCGTCAGGAGATCAGCCCTGGCACTGACCTGTATTAGACTTTCATCAGGTCTCAAAATCCTATGGTCCTGTTTCCTCAGTTACAAATAAAGCGGTTTCACTTAAACCACTCATTTAGAGCTAAGATTCTACCAACTGGAATGACTCAAAATACGAAATGAAATGTATCTAATGACAAGTTCTGTTTGAGCTAAAATGCAAAATACCAATCGAAAAATAGAACTGGAGATTAGTATTAAATGTCTTACTGTTACTTTCCTGGGGCTAAATTACTTTTCTTGTTACTTACATACAGAGTCTGGCATTATTGATTTGTATGTGTTATTCTCACCTACCCAAACACAAACGCCTTCAAAGGAACTGTCCTTTGTAAAGAGGTGGGATGTAAAAAAAAACTGTTGGTATTTTGACTCTAGGTGCCAACTCAACACTTCTGGCTTACTTTCCGTTAACTTGCAGGCACACAAGGAATTCTTGCTTCCATGGGTGCTGCTGCCTCTGGAAAGGAGTAATCAATTCAACATTATCCTTTTCGGCTCTCAAACTGTCCTCCATCTCCCTAGGGTCAAAAACTTTGCGGCCATGGGTTTTCCGGTGCATTAGTGCTCCATGAACAGCTGGATAACTACCCCCAGAGAACACAGTGTGGCTCTGGACTGGAAAATCTTGACAGGTTCATGACCTTAGAGCCAAGCACTGGGGTCAAACTCATAAACCAGGAAAGGGAACGAAATAAGGGCTCAGTTAGCGACCTGCAGTGGCCCCGAGGACCTAAGTGCTGCTCCAGAATTTCTACTGGCTTGAGGGCGACTGGAATTGGGGTTCAGGACAGTTGGTGGAAGCTGCATCGGTACGGCGAGCACGGTCTTCACACGTTTGCGGGTAACTGCTGGATTCCCCCAACTCCTCCGTCCTGTGGCGCCATCTTGGGAGCAGAGAACAAGCGATTCTGACTAAGGGTCGACAAAGTTCCTCGAAGACAGCCTTTAGGAGACTGGCTCTGACGGGAGCTCCCTGAGGGGAGAAAAACATAGTAGTTGGTTGGGTCCTTGTGGCTCGAGAGGCCCCAGTTCTCATTCATTTCCTGACAAGCACTTGTGAAAGCGCCAAGGTTCTACACTTCTGTCCGCGAGTCTGGGAAGTTTTTCGAAGAAAGCAGTAAGACCGCTTGGCCACCACCATTAGCTGTTTTGTAACGCCGCCCCACAGATCGGCCGCACCCGCCTGAACGCTCAACCTTCCTTCCCAACGGCTCCGGATATCGGCCGCGCGCCCATGGCGCGCGTGCGCAGATAGCCCGCGCAACCGTGCTGCGCAGGCGCCGTGGCCATTTCCGGGATATGTCAGCCGCTCCCTCTGGGCCTCGGTCCTCGCCCGCGCCCGCCGGAGCCTGTTCGCGTCGACTGACCAGAGTCCGCGAATTCTCCGCTCCGAGCCTGTCCGGACCGCCCCGATCCCAGGTAAGGAGCGGCAGGGGTGAGCTTCTGGCCTTGCCGGCCTCCACGGGGTCGGCCTCGCACAGGGCTTGAGCCCGTGGGGGCGATCAGGCAGGGACTTGGGCCTCGGGGCCCGGAGGCTAAGGGGCGGCGGTCTCCTTGCCCGGCCTCTGCAGGGGAGATCCCTGTTCTTCTTGGGGTTCCGCCGAGCCCCTGCTGTCTCCGCGCGCACAGGTTGCTTCTCTCAAAGACCTTGGAACTCCGAGCTTCCTCCGGTGCCAGAATTAACGGCCCCTTCTGCACTTCCATAGCCCCATTTCCACTTGTATTAGTGGGCGTTTGTCACGATCTGTAAAATTTTGATAAACAGACGATCTCCCCCTAATCAAATGTCACTAGGAACATTTTTTTCTTTAGTACTTAGAATAGGTCCCTGCATACAGTAGGCGCCATGGGATGTTTGTCTCCAGCCTAGCGCAGCCCCCAGCCCTTCAGTTGTTGGGGATGGGGAGGCCTCCTGAGCTCGGGAAAAACCTGTCCCCGAGTTCTTTTAAGATTTCCCCTGCTCGAGCCGTTTTCCCCTAAGTCAGAATTGCCCGTATTCGCCTCCGATCGCTCCGTGGAACCTTTTATGTAGCGACTTTTCGTGTTCAACCCTCCAGTAGGGATGCCAAAATTCTAATCCTGGCACCGTCACTTCATTAGGTGGCCCTGGAAAGGTGGCTTCTTTGAGGCCCCGTTTGCTCATCTGCAGCAAGACGATTCTTAGGACTTTTCTGAGGACTAACTGAGTTTATTTGCATAAATTTTTAGGAATAATTCCTGGCCCCGAGTAGGTGCTCAGTAAATATTAGGTATTATTGCTGCTTTTGGACATTCTGTGCTTGTAATTTCCTACCCCCCTACCCCCACCCCGAGATTTGAGGACCAGAAAAGTAGCAGATTTATTTGTTTCTGGCCCCAACCTGGTACTTGACTACACTGTTGGGAACATGGTAGGACTTAATAAATTGTAGCTTAGAATCCTTGAGTTATAAAGCCATCTGTTGTCATACTGTGCCTTTGGAACCTGAAGGAAATGCTAACCTACTTTTTTTACCTCAATTCATTGCCTAAATTACTAAATTATACTAGTTCTGCCCTCTTTCATCAATTTTATCTAACTTTTTGGTTTAGAGGAGGCCCTGGCATTTTTAGGTAAAAGAAAAGAAAAGAGGAGAGATCAATCAGGAGGGTGTTTCTGCTCTGTTAGGAAGTGGGTGTAACTGGCTGTTTCTTACCACAAAATATTAGGGTACCTTCCAAGGTTACTTTATCTACTTATCACAGTTAAAGGAGGGGATTGTCTAATATGGGTGAATGTTGAACCGCTGTGTTGTGTATGTGAAACCATCATAAGTTTGTATATCAATGATACTTTAATTTTAAAAATAAAGGAGGAGATCACCTTGGAATATTAAAACTCCTGCTTGGAGGGAGAGTAGCAGTATTTTGATCTAGTTAACTAATCCTATGCTGATACAAATTCTGCATAAAAGGTCTGCTGGTGAGGTGCCTGGTATCGGAACCTTGTCTTTGGACGCTGTGGAGGGTGTGGTGACCTTGTTGGAATACCTGGTATTGCTGGGTTGAGTAATCATGCAACTAGAAACTGGGTGAATCACAGTCTTGAAAATTAACCCTCAACAGGGAACTGAAATTCCCAGTGTACAAAATACTTTAAAGCTCCAGGGCCAAGAATTTAAAGCATATGTAGACATTTCCAAGTTCAGATAGACTAACTGGTGTGTACTTCTAGGGATGATTCAAAAGCCTTGGGTCAAGGAAGAATGGGAACTAACTTACTGAGTATCTGTTTTGGGCTTTTTCACATGTTACTGCTTCCTGCCAACAGCCTTGAGATGTCAGCCTTCTGATGTGTCCATTTGACATGCAAAAAATGAGATTTAGAGATACTGGGTGATCTGCCTGGGTCTCATAGCTAGTATGTGTCAAAGCCAGGGTTCAAACTAGGCGCCATTGGCTTCAGAGCCCATTGCTAACCAAACATCAGAATAACTGTATTCAAAGTGATAGGTTCAAAAAAGGAGTTGGGAGGTGCAGGGAGTTCCTGGAATCAGACTATGCTATAAATCATTCTCTCAGTGCTGGACAATAAAAGGTCATCATTAGAAACTCAATAAATTTAATGTCACCACCTTTTTGCCTGTCTCTTTTTCTTCTCTCTACCCTTGCTAAGACAAAGATTTTCAGATTTCACTTAAATATGAATCAGACTTTCGAAATGGTAATTATTATCCTATGACAGAAGGTATCTTTTTCTTGGTACAAAATTCAAGCTTTTATTCTGCATTCAGTGAGTTTGATGAATACAGGCTGTGTTCCCTGGGTGCCTTATAAATTTGACAAATGTTGAGTGTTGTCTTGCCCAAGAGACTTAACCACATGGTTATAAAAAAAGTACAGGTCCGACTGTATGTCCACATAGGGAACTTGAATGAACTTAGCAATGCAATTTTGGGAGTAATTATGCCAATGTGTAAATGTTTACATCTTTTGAAGGCTTTGCTACATTGCTGATAAAAATGAGTTAAAGAATGAGAAAGCCTTTGTCTGCAACTGTTCTTTTTTAACTGTATATGAAATATGTGCTTTTATTACATGTAGATATTCACATACTATTAACTTGCAGATCAGTTTTGTTTCATTTAACAAGTGTACCTATATAGTGTGGCTTTTGAACTAAATTGCTTGTACTTAAGGAGATATCTGTGACACAAATGTGTTATTTTGAGTAACTATGAATCAATCCTTTTGTGATGGGTGAACATTTTGATACCAGAAAATTATGCAGTGAGCATAATTATCTGGAAGTTTATTTTTTAAAAAAACAAATTAAGTGGTCTCATTTGAATTTATTTTTTTTAAGTGTTTAAAATTTCCAGTTAATGGGTTTTTCTTCATTTGTGAGTTGCAGTTTGCTTTCTAGAACACATAAAAGTAAAAGATTAATGACCAAAATACCTTGACTCAGAATAGAATGTGAAACACTGACATTTCTCTCTGCCAGTTCAAGATATCAGACGTTTTATTTAAGGGTGCACTTTTCTCTTTCTGACCCTTGGGTTTCTTTACAACAGCAGAGACATGTCTTCTGCTTTCCACTGAGATTGGTTTCTGCTCTATCTGCTGAACTTCATTGTTCACTTCACAACCTTCTGGTGGCCCTTCCATTCATTTCGTGTTTGCATCAGCTTCCTATCTCACATTTCAGTCTCCACCCTATGATTAACATGACTTGTCCTGAAGTGTATTGAAACTTCAGCGTGTTAGGAGAGCTAGGAGAGCAATGAAAAAGGGATGGTAGGGGTGCCAGGGCTGGCTGCTTTTTGAACAATTTCTCCTATTTCAGGTAATGGTTGCTGCTTTAGTGGGTCTAGGTTTGGGTACAAAACAGAATTGTATTTGATTTTTAATTTAATGATGTTTCACAGATCCCTGCTTTTCATTAGTTACAATAAAATGTTTAAAGAGTAATACAACAAACCCTGCATACTCTGCCTAGATTCACCAGTTATTAAATTTTTGCCCCATTTACTCTTTACATATTTGCTTGTCCTGAATGATTGAAAATAAGTTACAGAAGACATCATGGCACTTCATCCCTAAACACTGTCATGTTTATCTCCTAACAGGGCATTCTCCTATCTAATGGCAAGCCATTATCATAGTTAAGAAATTGACAATAATACCATACAGTTATGTAATAATGTAGTCCAAAATCAGATTTTCCTTATTGTACAAAATACATCTTTTATGGCTATTTTTAAAATACAGATTACAATCAAGTTTCACTTACTAAGTTTGGTTTTCATAGTTTTTAAATCTAGAACAGTGCTTCCTCAACCCTGCCCCAACCCCCTTGCCTTCTTTGAGTAGTCCAGGCCAATTGTAACAGTTTATTTCCCTTTGTGTTATTTAACTCATCGCATCCCCCTTCATTTCCTGTAAACTGGAAATTTGGTCTGGATCTTGATTGGATTTAGGGTAAATATGTTTGGCATAGATACCTCATAGGTAGCTTGGCCATATTACCAGGTTTCTCCACAGTAGTCCTGTGACTTGTACAGCATAATTATTTAGAGTGCCCCTTTTCACTTGCTTAAAATTATTCTGGGCTGGATGGTAAATTCATTGGTTGCCATTTAAAAGCGATGATGGGCACTTCTTGCCATCCATTAGGAGGCCCATCAGATTGGATTGTTTCACTATCTGTGATTCTAAGTTTGATTATTTGGTTAAGGAGGTGACTGCCAGATTTTCTTTTTACCATAAAGGCATGTTTTTTCTCTTTATAATTAGTAAGTAGTTTGTGGGATGATAATTCAAGACTGTGAGTATCCTATACCCCAACAATCATTAAACCATGGTTTTAGGGCCCCTCTGTGATGCTTGACAGACTGAATTATGCATTGGTAGTTACAATGCCAGTCATATTTAAACATTGTGATTGATTCTTTCTTAATGGGAGAATGCTGTTTTATTGATCTCCAGACAACTTAAATATGGGTTGCCTGCCATTTTTTAATTTTTTTTTCTGTTGCCTTTTGCAGCTTTCTATCCTTGGAAAACACTAATAATAATGGCCCTGCATCAGTTTTTACTTGAGCCAATCACCTGTCATGCCTGGAACAGGGATCGTACCCGTAAGTCTGCTCTTAACTTGGCCCTTTTACTTCAGTGCCTGTGATACTTTCAGATGAAGGCACTTTCAGGGATCACTTACTTCAGTGTCACTTATGAAAGGACATAGACATAGACTCAGAAGGGAACTAGGTCAGCCCTTTGGCTTACAGATGGAGAAACCAAGGCCTCAGGTGTTTGAAAGACTTCCCAGCGGCTGCACACCAAGCCAGTGTCATTGCCATTGGTAAGCACCTTGCCTTCTGGCTCCTCGTACACTTCTTTTTCTGCAGCATTGCTTGGACGACAGACACCTTGTACTGCCCTAAGAGCCCAGTGTATGAAATAATTGTGCAATAACACCACACTCATTCAGCATTTAGTCAGCTTACCAGGACCTAGAAATAAGCTGTTACAAGACATACGGTTACTCCTGAGGCACTGAGAGCAGCATCAACTAGCATTTACTGTGTTATTTGTAATAAGCTTGAGTTTCTAGTTTTCTAGCTCCAGCAAACTAGAAAGGGATGGACAAGATTCTTAGAAGTAGGCACAGAACAACAAGCAGAGTAACAGGATGACAAGGAAGAGGCAAAAAACATTAAAAAAAACAGAAGTGTAGTATTTTGTCCATGAGTTACTTTAAAAAGTTAAATTATATTCACTGTCTTTTATTCAGTTCAGCAGGTTTTAGTATGGTCCCAGAGTTATGCAGAATCACCACTCTCTAGTTTCAGAATTTTGCATCATTCCAGAAAGAAGCTCTATACCCATTAGCAGTCACTCCCAGTTTTCTTCAAAACTTTCAGTCCTAGGCACCTACTAATCTACTTTCTGTCTCCATGGATTTGCCTATTCTGAACATTTTATATCAATGGAATCATAAAATATGTGGCTTTTTACATCTGAGAATAATGTTTTCAAGGTTCATCCACATTGTAGCATATATCAGTACTTCTATTCCTTTGTATGGCTGAACAATATTGTATAGACATACCGTATTTTGTTTATTCTTCAGTTGGTGGATATTCCCCTTTTTGGCTAATTGTGAATAATGCTGCCATGAACATTCACATACGAGTTGTTTTTTGTCTTTTTCTCCCCTGCCGGACTGAACGCCTACAATGTAGGGACCATATCACAGTCTGTTTTCTATCTTGGCCTTTGACACAGCACTTGGTGTGTATCACCAGACTTGCTACATACAAGTTTTTATGTGCACACGTTTTCACTTCTTGAGTATATACCTAGGAGTTGAACTGCTAGATCATATGGTATCTATGTTGAGCATTTTGAGGAACTGCCAGACAATTTTCCAAAGTGGCCACACCATTTTACATTCTCAATAGTACTGTATGAGTGCTCCAACTTCTCCACATACTCATCAACACTTGTTATTATCTGTCTTTGTTATAATAGCCTCCTATCACTATGCTAGTGAGTATAAAGTACTATCACATTATAGTTTTGATTTGCATTTCCCTGATGACTAATGATATTAAGCATCTTTTCACATACTTATTGGCTATTTGTATATCTTTGGAGAAATGTCTTTTCAGATCTTTTGCCCATTTTTAAAATTGGTTTAGCTGTCTTTTTATTGTTGAGTTGTAAGAGTTCTTTATATATTCTGGATACAGGTCCCTTATCAGATATATGGTTTACAAAATCTTCTCCCAGTCTGTGGGTTGTCTTTTTTATTTTCTTGATGGTGTTCTTTGAAGCACAAAAGTTCTTAATTTTGAAAAAGTCCAAAATACTTGTTTATTTTGTTGCTTATGCAACAGATAATTGGAGTATTTCTAATCATTTTTAATAGAAATGCAAGTTACTGTTGTATCTAAGAAACTGTTGCCTAATTCAAGGTCACAAAGATGTGTAACTATGTTTCCTTTGAAGAGTCTTATAGTTTTAGCTCTTACATTTAGGTCTTGGATCCATTTTAAGTTAGTTTTTGTATAAGTTGGGAGGTAGGGGCCCAGCTTCATCCTTTTACTTGTAGATACCCAGTTGTCACAACACCATTTGTTGAAGACTATTCTATTCCCATTGAATTATTTTGGCATCCTCATCAATAATCAATTGACTGTAAATGTGAAGGTTTATTGGACTCTTTAATCCAATTTCATTGATCTTTATCCTAATGCCAGGACCACACTGTCTTGATTCCTGTAGCTTTGTAATAAGTTTTGAAATTGGAAAGTGTGAGTTCCAACTTTATACTTCTTTCTTAAGATTGTTTTGGCTCTTCTGGGTCCCTTGCATTTCCATATGAATTTTAGAATCAACTTACTAATTTCTGCAAAGCAACCAGCCGGGATTTTGGTAGGATTGCTTTTAATCTATAGATTCACTTTCTTTTTTAAAACAGTTCAGATATGGTTCACTCTTTTACTTAAATCCTTGGTATATAAACAGTACACTCCCAAGTTACTGCTGGGCAGAGAGACAACCTAGATACAAGCATCTCTATTGTGTATTTCAAAATATGTAACTTGGCAGGGTGGTGAACCTAGAGCTGCTGTTGCATGATCATCTCAGCTTCATAACTGAGTTTCCTACATCTCTTGTCTCTACTTTCCCATCTAAAAATAAGTTTTTGGTATATTTCCAATTATTTTTAAAAGAGGTGCAAGTTATTGTCCTCAGTTAAACTATTTGATAAATTCAATATACTAAGTCAAATTTTTTGTTATGTCACATTATAACTTGAAGTTTATGTTATTTTCCAGGTTTAAATTTGGATTTGGCTTTTGAAATCCCTGTAGGCATCTTAGAAATTTAGAGAAAAATGTAACTGGTTTCCAGAAATAACTTAAAATCTTAGGATTTTAGAGCTAAATATTTATCTAGTTCCACAGTTTCACCTGTAAAACAGATGTAGCTTTCCTAAGGAGGGGAGGAAAGGTGATAAAACAGAAGGGGGAATGATTGGCCTAAAGTTTGCATCATAGATCCTAATTTTAATTTTAAGAAATCAATGGTTTTTTTTTTCAAATGGATGAACTAGAAAGGGGAAAAAAATCAATATTTAAGTTTTTAAAATCCATCATACATATGTATATTCTTAATATTTCAGATTAGTCCAAGAGGTTTCTCTTAAAAACAGAACTTTATTTTGTGATTTATATTGGCTTTATAAAGGAAATTTTTGATACATTTTACCAGCAGAATCAAGTGTTTTGGATAAACTAGTGGTTGCATCCTGGGTCCATGATAGCAATAATGAGAACCTATGAGCTTTTTTCAGTGTTTGAGGAATTCTAACAAATTAAATATTTATCACTATTGATGTATAATAAGTGAAGTAAAATGTCAAATATCCTTACTGTGAGCTACAAGTATGTCAGCTAAATATAGCAGCATTGTTTATTTCTAAATGGTTAGAATCTTTGACAGTTGTATATGTCTCTGATAAAATGAATTTTTAAATTTAGTTTTTCTATAAAACATTTAAAAATAACAGCGTCCAAGGAGAGGTAAAAATAGTAGAAAGAATTCTTCAGGGGTGAATATTGGGAACCATTCTTTTGAAACACTTTTCCTGTTCCTTCCTTCAATTCTTTTTTAATGCCAACAGTAACATTCCCCTTTTTTGGTGACAATCTCAAGTTTAGGTATTAACCATTGACTTTTTTCCCCAGAGATTGCCCTTAGCCCCAATAATCATGAAGTCCACATCTATAAGAAGAATGGGAGCCAGTGGGTGAAAGCTCATGAACTCAAGGAGCACAATGGACACATCACAGGTAAAGAAGATAACTGTGAGCTTATGTGTGGTATTTCCAAATGTAGCCCTCTTGTATTTAATTAAAGAGCCTTTAATTAAATTTAATTAACGTAAGTCAGCCATAATATTTAAAGTTTAGCCATTTACTGAGTTTTCTTTAGAAAACTGGAGACAGTCGTAATGGTGATCTCAATTAGTAAGTGTTTCCTTTAGCCCAGTGGGTACCCAGTGCTCTACGTACTCCAGGGACTGATGTCCTAGTGCTGTATGTCAGGAGATGAAGCACGGGGGCCGACACACTAGGCAGGACATCAGCGGTGTGGGAAGGTACCACATGCAGTATTCCCGGCTGCTGAGGGAGCACAAAGTCTTCCAGGCTTCCTGTCAGTTTTTGGGGCACAGAAGACATTCCAAAATATTAAAAAGGACACAGAGTAATATAAGGAAAGCCCAAATTCCCAACACCCAGAATCAACAGCTATGTATCTCTTTTCCTGTGCAAGAACATTTAGGAAACAAAGGTTTAACAATAGTGAAGATTATTCCAGATAATGGTAACATCCCCTCTCAGCACTAGTCCTACTCCTGTCCCCAGGAAGTAGTCTAATTTGGTATGACCGTGTCCCAGTTCATTTTTAAGCCTCTCACACACATGTGTATACCCAAGCCACCCTTAGGACTATTGGCTAGTGGTTTTAATGATGCTACATGAATGGCTCCATATCATGCCTCTGCTACAGCTTGCTTTTGCACTCTACATAGTTTCTGAACTCTCTGTTGGTGTGTCTAGGTCAGGCTTATTCCTTTGAACTACTGTTTCACATTTTAGACCTCATTTATTTACTCTTTCTCCATTGGAGGACTTGAGATTGTTTCTGGCTTTTTCTTGTTACATTGAGACGCTAAATCCAGCATCACCTGTGCATATTGTTTGTGCACATGTGAATGCTCATCTGTGGTAGACTTGTGCCACAGTGTGTGCACATTTTCAGCTTAGGCATCATCCCATCGCCCACGTCCCTCTAGCTGTGTGGGGTGCTTATTCTCCCACACCTTGTGTGTCCTTCAAGTGGTCAAACTGATGAATGGAAGGCAGTGTCTCTGTGGGTTGCATTTTCCTGCTTAGCAGAAAGGTTGAGCATATTTTCAGATGTTTACTAGCCTTCTGGATTTTCTCTTTTGCGACTTTACTGTTCATAATTCCTGACCATTTTTCCATTGAGTTTTTGTCTTTTTCTTGTTGATTTGTAGAAGACTGGGTCTTAAAGCTTTGGCTCTGAGGCAGATTACTGAGTATACATTAACTTTTGTCTCTGACAAAAACTCTCCTGAATAGATAGAGGTGGCCAGCAGACCAGTGCTGAGTTTTATTAAGCAAGTGTCAAAGGAGAAGGAAGAGGCAAAAGCAGAGAATTTTTACAGTGGTTTTCAGAATTTAGTGAACCAAATTCTTATACCAAATTTCAAGACAATGTATTGCTTTGCTGTTAAGTCATATCTGGCTATGTAAAAAAAACAAAAACAAAAAAATTCATGTATTCCTGTGTTCACAAAGAACTCCTTTCTTTGAGCCTTACTAGTATAGTCTCTTTTCTATCCTGTTTTCTAACAGAGTTGATCCAGCTTTCCAATCACAAACTTCTCACTGCAGTCTCAGGTTTGCTTTTTCCTGACAGTGACATTTGCACTTAAGTGGGTAGCAAAGGGACTGCTAGTGAAGTTTTTTTTATTGGACCCTGGAATTTTGCCTCTAATTCCCTAATTCACTGATTAGCTTAAAGATATTCTTCCCCCAAATGAGAGAAAAACCACGTTTGACCCTCTGCACTCTCTACATTGTCTTTCCCAACAAACCCTGGTGACCATCCCATCTCACATTTAGGAGGGACTTGTTTGTGATGCTCGTGTGCACGGGGAGCCAGCTGACTGTATAACCCAGCAGGCACAAAGACATAACGTATCACTTCTATTTTTGTTGCTATTGCTTTCCCACAACTTTATTTCTATTAGGTTTGGCCTATTTAAGTTCCTTTACCCATGGCCTTATGGCCTAAAAATAAGAGCACTCATATTTTAAATTGGAATTTTAGCATTGGGAAATAACTTTTAAATGAGAAGGAGCTAAGATAAAAAGATCAAATAACCAAAAGAGTGAAATATTTAGTTACATCTTTTTTTCTCCCCTGCTTCTCTCTTGGAATCTTTTGAACTTTGGCCTGTTTTCTGTCCAAATGCTTAAGTGACATTTTTTTAGATCTGAAAAAAAACTTGTTGGAAAAATTTAAATACAAGTATATGGCAAGAGATCAAGGATCAAAGGTATTTTCTCATAAAGTTCTAACTATAGAGAAAAAAGTTATCTTCTGAAGCTTACTGGAAGAAAAGACTGGCCAGCACTACAGGGTAAGGCAAACATCAAAGGGATATCAGAGTTTTAGGGTTTTTCTCTCTGAGTTTATTTTTCTGTGTTAAGTGATCACTGTCTCTTTTTAAAAAACATTTTACTATGTACAGTTTTAAACAGATAACATAAAAAGGCAGAATAATGTAATGAGCCCCTATATAAATCCATCATTCAGATGCAGCAATTATCAACTCACAGCCAACCTTGTTCCCAGCTCACTTTCCTCCTTCTGGTATTATTTGGAAACACATTCCAGACATTGTATCATTTCATATGTCAGTTTGCATGTCAAAAATGTAAGAACTTTTTTTTTTATAATAACCAATAGTTGGTTTTAATGGGGATCCTATAGGGTGCACACATGATTGTGACTAGTTGATATAGTTCAGGTCTTTTGTTCTATTTTGTTTATAGGTTCCTTCTCTTTTTCTTTTCCGTTGCAATTTATTTGTTTAAAAAATTGAGAAATCATGTTGTTTGTCTTTGAGGAGGTGTTTTCGAGAACGTACGTTTTACTGATTGAAAGCCCATGGTACTTTACATATTTCTCTGTCTTCTGTATTTCCTGTAAATTGCTAATGGAAAGTTAGGTGGTGGTAGATTCTTTCATCAAGGGGGCACATAATGTCTAGTTGTCATTCTTTCTGTGATATTAGCAACTGTTGATGATCAGTGCCCATTAACTTCATAGTGGCTGCAACATGGTTACATTCTAAATCTATTATTTCTTCTCTGTTAGCTGGAATACATTTATAAAAGTGGTGCTTACCTTTACTGTTTGGCTCCCCTGAGATGTAGTTAGTACAGGAAACACAGGATAGATGCTTGAGTCTTTTCCTTTAAAGTCTTTTGATAGCAGGAAAACAGAAAAAAGATGCAAAATTAAATTAGGAAGAGACAAGAACTTGCCTTTTACTGATTATTTGTGCTTCTCATTGCTCTTTAACAAGTATGTGTTTAAAAAGATTTAAAAGCTAATGCCACCTAAAATATTTGAGGCTCTATCTGGTTTTACAGCTTCTGTATTCAAATGAAAGTTTCAGCTACAGAAGCAGACTTAGAACTGTAAAACCAAGCAGAAGACAGCTCTTGTGTTTTTCTTAGAGAATAAGCATCTGTTGATTTTTTTTAAGTCCTTCATGCTTAAGCACCACAGGAACTCTTATAAAACACACATGTATTTAATCAGGGTGGTAGTCATAGGGAAAAGGGGGTGAAACTTTAGATTGTCAAATCATCACAACATCACTGAGCTTGCTCATTACAAGGCAGTATTCTGGATTAGAGGATGGGTTGGCTTTCTGTTGCTGTGTAACAGATACTAGAAACTTAGCAGCTTAAACCAAAATACACTGATTAACTCACAGTTTTTGTGGGTCAAGAGTCTGGGCATGGCTTATCTGGGACCTCTCTGAAGAATATGACAAGCTATAAGCAAGGTTTCAGCCGGGTATGAGTTCTTATCAGAGGCTCAACCAAGGAAGGATCCACTTCCAAGCTCTTTCAGGTTATTGGTGGTAGAGTTGATTTCCTTGCAGCTGCAGGATTGGTGGCAGCTTGCTTCTTCAAAGCCGTCAGCGGAGAAACAGCATGAGAGTTTCCAGCAAGAGGAGCCCCACCCTCCCATGTCACCTTGGACACTGATCGTTATATCTTACCACCCTTACAGCACTCCATGGGTTAGAAGCGCCACACAGATGGGGAGGGAGTCACATGGAGGCATGAATATGCCGTGTCATGGGGCCACCCAAGATCTACCCATCACAGTAGTTTCAGAGATTTGATTCCTATTGTCAAGAAGCTTGTAATCAAGTTAGGAAAACAAAGCATTCATAAAAAATAAGTATTTTGCATCACACTTCTGGGGATTTATCAAAGATCATTTTAATCAGAGCAAATAGGTGCTTGAACATTTATTCCAATTTTGTCTATTCTAATAAATGATTGGAAACTAACAAAACATTCAACAATGGGATATTTTGGATAATTGTGCTAAGATCAATGGTCTGATATAATGTATAACCACCATGAATTTATAAAAAGCAGGAGAAAATGTTTGCCGTAATAGTAATATCATTTTCAGGGAGGGACGTGGAGAACAGGGCATTCTGCGTGTCCCTTTGTGATGTCTGTCTTATAACAAAGTGTGGAGATTGCGTTTGTAATTAAAAATAAATTTTAAATCTAATAAAGAGGGCTGCAAAATTACCTTGTAATGAATAGACTTACAATCAAAATACATATCACTTAGAATATACTCCCCATATCTTTTTCCCCTCATTGGTACAAATAATTGAGCTGACTATTCCTGTCGGTGAATGAATAAACTCTTCATGCTACTAAAGTCACAGTGACTTGTGAATAATAGAGACTTTGATTGATATTCATCTTACTTTTTTCCATGTATGTGTTAAGAATGTTAATGATTAATTTAGGGGGATATACCTATAAAATAAAAGCTTATTAGTAATATTTCTATACCTTTAAAATTATATTTATAGAAAATACCTCATCAGATAACTATAAAATGACTAAGTCATAGCAGATTTTACTCTTGGTATATAACAAACTGACGTTGACTTGGGATCCTTCACAGACGCACCAAATAAGTAGAAGTCTGGTCAAATAAGAAAAAAACCTACATTCAGATATATATTTAGGTCTCTTCCTAGTTTAGATCCAAAGATAATTCAAGGATGCTTTCATGGAAACTGTATCATATAGAGAAGTTATTTAGGTTAGTTTAAATGATAGTGACCTCACAATTTATATTTTCCCCTATATATCCTGAAGGTTATTTACCATGTATGTTGTTTTATTTGAATGTATACAGCAAATATGGAATGAGATCTGTTAATGAATGAATAAAGGTGTTTTCAGAAAAAAGTCTAATAAAGAGGGAAGAAAAAAGAAATCTAATAAAAGAGGGAAGGAAAGGTTTTATGACCAGATCTCTTACGAAGCCTGTGAAGGGGTGGAAAGAATGCGTTTACTTGGTTTTGTAACCTCCACGATTACAAAACAGCATTATAAAACATTTGTGTTCTACCTGGCCTCATGGAGGACCCTTAGTACCCCAATTTGCAGAGAGACTTCCTCACCTCTGTGTGTGAGGTGGTGAGGACCATGATGGGGGACAGAAAGGCTGGGCAGGAAGGCACCAAGCCCACTTCAAGCCCCACCGTGCCAGCCCTCCTGCCTGTGCCATGCAGTCGGTCACTGGCCGGGCAAAGCAGGTGACACCGTGTCTCACTTGCAGGTATTGACTGGGCTCCCAAGAGCGACCGCATCGTCACTTGTGGGGCAGACCGCAATGCCTACGTCTGGAGTCAGAAAGATGGTGTCTGGAAGCCAACCCTGGTGATCCTGAGAATTAACCGTGCAGCCACTTTTGTCAAGTGGTCCCCACTAGAGAACAAATTTGCAGTGGGAAGTGGAGCACGACTCATTTCTGTTTGTTACTTTGAGTCTGAAAATGACTGGTGAGCAACATCTGAACATTTTTTATCTCTGCAGAATCATGCATTTGGACCACTGTGTTACTGGTGATGTTTTGAGGCACTGGGGGAAGACTTAACAATAACTTCAGTTTTTCCTCGTCTAGAGATTTTTTTCCCTCTGGAATTCTCCCTTGTCTCTGGACATTTTCCCTCCTTACATGCCCATGGAGTCAAATCTGGCATCTTTACCATATTAACATAGTTAGAGTTTCCATGTCCTGCTCTCCTAACTTGTTTGTTCTTTAAGAAGCTGTTACTTTTCTCACTCTACTGTCCAGATTGCTGTTTACTTACTCTGATACATAAATTATAAACTTGAAAGATTTCCAGTACCCTGGGGAATAACTGTTTCCCTTCTCTATCTTTATCCACTTAAAATATCTAGGATTCTTACAGGTAACAGTGGTCTCCTTTCTTTAAAGTTTGTTAACCAAATCTGTGTCTTGGTATAACGTTTTTGTTTGTTTAAGCTGTTGAAGTAAAAATTGACTAGAATCTTAGAAATATAATCAGCCTGTATTACCTTTTTTTATAAATCACTTGCAGCTGAGCCACTCAAAATAGCAGATTTATTTTATGGCCAAGTCTTATTTTAACTACTCCTTCCTGCTTGCTCTGATAAGAAAAGGAGTCTATTCTGTCTGGCATGCATTCGGAAAGGGTGGTAAATACCTATCAACATGGAATTATCATTTAGTATGAAACTGGCAGTGTTTGTGTTTGCAGTAAAAATAGCAAAGTACACATTGTTTGTTTAGTGTTACAGTTTCTGCTGAAACAGTGAAAGGAAGGGATTACCATCTACGTTTTGTAATTAAGTAAAATCTCAGAAAGTTTTATCCTTCGAAAAGAAAGTGAATTTGCAACAAGATTGAATTATGAATTTAAGACATGCATTTTTCTTTTAATAGGGTGGGCAAAACGTTGCCTGCCAAAAATAATTTAGAAGGCTCAGTGTAATGAACAAATGATAAACAGCTTTTCTTCCTAGATAAACCTTCAACCTCAGTGATTGTTGACATTTTTTATTTGTTGAAAAGAAGTCTCAAATATAGGCAAATTGGGCTTTACTGTAGTACAAAATATTGTCATTTGAACAAGCTGTATGTTCAGGGGAGTTTCTCAGCTATGGAACAGTATTTTATTGGTATGATGTGAGTGCTTTAAAACAACCTCCAAAAGCCTTTCATTTAAAATAACTGCATTATAAAACAAGTCAGAATACGCCTATTTTTTCAGAATGAAATTTTAGAGTCCTAAAAAAAACATTCTATAGAGAAGTAATTTAACATTCAAAGAAAGCTGTTTGGCTTGATATTAAGTCTCTGAGCTCTTGAACAGCAAAATATGATTGGTTTTTAAGCTGCAGTTTAGGGGCAGAAATTAAATTAGTCAAGCTAGAATAATAACTGATCTTAGAAACATAAACTTTTTGGGTGGCTCTAGAGAATAAGTTAAACCCTCCAACAAGAGGGTCTGCTGATTTCTTAGCTGTAATTCTCTGTGAAAAAAAATAAAAAAGAATTTGTAGCTCTATGGAGATAGAAAGCTAAGTCATCTTACAAACCAAACCCTCCCCCAAAATGAAGTAAATCACTGAGTATTCAGAGTTAGAAATTCAAGTAATTTCAGACCTCAATTTTTACTTCAAAGGTTAAAGTCACATGTAATCAGAAACTCTATGGACAGTACCAGAGTTAATCCGTAAACACATTTACTAAGGAGGATCCCCCTGGTAGCAGGAAAGTACAGAACCAGCCGCTCTGAACGTCAAAGCCTGAAAGATGGGAGAATAGAAAGGACCTCTGCTGGCTCTGGTTCCTTCTGTCCTCTAGAAGTGTACCTTCTCTGGCAGGAGACGCGTAGCTGCGTAGGAACCCTGCGGAGGTGTGTTGGCCTGACACACAGTAGGTCACCTGGGGACCACTACTTGATGTGTGGATAAACTGAAATGGATTTTTCCTTTTGCAGGTGGGTAAGCAAGCACATTAAAAAGCCAATTCGCTCCACAGTGCTCAGCTTGGACTGGCACCCCAACAATGTCTTGCTGGCAGCAGGATCGTGCGATTTCAAATGCAGGTGGGAACAAATGAGAGTTGGCAGACAGGCTTGAGCTGTTCATTGTTCATCTTTCAACAGATACTTTAAGGTTCCTTTTATCTCCCAGGTTCTATGCTAGGCACGGCAAGCCCTTAGAGATGAAAGGAGCTTATCATCTAGGAAAAGAGCTAAAACAAGCACATAAATTATTGAGATGGAAAGAAGTGGCCTTGGAGGGGCACTGGGAGGGAGCCCCATGGCAGCCAGGAAGTTTCCCTCAGGCAGAACATCCGGGGTTTAGAGTGG